AGTGAAGAAGATTTCAAATGTCCCAGCAACACTCTGCCGCCAACTGATACGACGGTGAAAGCAGTAGCCCATGATGATTTTGCTGTCCGCAAAGCCAAAGCAAACAAAAAAACTGGTAGCCCCAAGCAGAAGTTTGTGCATTTTGGGCCAGTAACTGAGATTGATCAACAGAAATGGGACAGGCTTGTTATTGGCAGAGCTTCATCTAAAATCGGAACAGAAGAGGAAAGCAAGAAAGACTATATGGAGAGTCACTCTGGTGTTGAAAGCTCTCCTTCAACCACTGTCGTCAGTCTTGGGTTTGCTGAACACAGCGATGAAGTATCTGAGCCAGAGAATGAGTCCAGGTATTTGGTGTGGCTTAGGAAGTGCTGCTGAGCTGGAAATGAGACCTGTTCTTGCCAGATGCTGATCTGCATGGGAGTGGACTGCAGCATAGACTTAAGAGCTGTTTATGTGCACAGCCTTGTTCAGAAGTCATCTGATGTCTTCACAGTACCTTAACATGTTTAGGGTTGTATAAAACAATGCTGCAGAAAGGTCTTCCGAGCACTTGCTCAAAATTTCTGGTGGGCAGTGACATCCCTGGTATCTCAGAGTCTGAGCTATTGTTCGTGCTTTCTCTGCTGCTTGAGTTCCAGCAGCTTTGCTGGAATTCTGCCTGCTTTCAGCACGTTAAGAATTTGTTGTTCAGCTTGGTGGCTTTGCTGATCTTCAAAAAAACCTTTTTTCAAACCTGATGGATTTACTTTCTTTTTGAAGAGGGTGTATTGCTGCTCTGTTTCTGGCATTTATCTGGAGAAGAATTACAGCTCTGAGTCATTAACACATTAACAGATCTTATATTTCTTTGACTTTAATTACTTAGTCTGTGGCTGTAAAAAGAATTTTGAACGAATGCTTTTAGCAAGCAATTCATTCAGTTAATTTTGTGTGTTTATAAAAACATTTGCAAACTGAATTGGAGGACTTCTTTTCTTACCTTTCATTTGATCTGAGAATGTTTTTTCTGTTCTCACCCCTCCTCTCATTCTGATCGCTAGTGAGGTGGTCAAATCAGGTATAGATGACTCTTGCAGGAGAATTGCATCAGCTGTACTGGCTTCTGACATCGTCTCTGAAAAACAAACCCCATGCAGTTTGAGCAAACAGCAAGAAAGCACCAAGGAAGAATGCCATAGGCATGTACCAGATGTTGAGAGAGATGATATGTTGGTTAGAAGGATGGGAACTTTTCAGAGGCGTACCACTAGCTCCGTTCCCATATGTTGTCGTACCCTGTCAGTAGCTCCTCATGTGCTGCAGCAGCAGCAAGAGGAGACAGTAGCTCATGAGAAGGATTTGAAGACTCCGCAGGAAGGAGAAAGGTCAGAGAACAGAAGCAGATCCCTCTGAGCTTCATGCCTGGTTTGTGTGTGGTGTTAGCTTGGATTGGTCAGTGGTGTTGTTCCATTCTTCACATGGCCTTTAAAGATGTGTTTTACTCATTCATCATGGCATGTGTTCTGTTTTATGAAACTACTTGCAAAAATGTATTCTATGAACATAAAACAGTCTGTTTTCTTTCATAATATTTAAGTACTTCAGTTGTTAATTGCTGTTCAGCATGAAAACAGTCTTTCATCTTTTGGGGGGATTTCTTTTGCAATCCATGGTGCTTGTTCTAGGTTTTTATGCCAGCTTCCAAGTGACTAATTCGTCTCATAGATTTTTTTGCAATTCCCGACTTCTAACGAATCACCTAAGTGTGGGGTTCAACATCGTTTCCTCTTGTTCTCACTCCCTGTGCTGTAGCTAAAGATGCCTAGTTTGCCTAGTTGTCTATCACTCTCAACTTTGTTTTGAGTAACAGCACGCCACATTACCTGAGCAGCCACTTGCTTAGAAGTGAGCATTATCATGGAACAGTGTCACTTGTCTCTCTGAGCAGTACTGTAAAACGAGAAGAGAACCAAGAACAGCTTGAAATCCCTCAGCTGCAGAACGATGGAACAGAAAACAACATGAAATTTCCCGACCCACAAAGAGATGACATGTTGGCTAGAAGAACTGGAGCTTTTCTGAAACAGCCTGGGCCCAATGTTAAGCAATTCCTTCCCATGCCATTTTCAAAGCATCAGAATAAGCAGGACACAACTACAGAACTTGAGAAGAAAACAACGAGGTAAGAAAGTTGTGCTTTTCTCTGTCCCTTGTAGCTTGCCCTGTGGGCTGTTTTTCAGGATCTCTTGATCTGGAAGATTTGCTGGTGTCCAACAGCGGTTTTCCATGCTTGCTCTCAGTTCTGTGCCATTTTTTTCTGCTCAGAAGGCGGCAATACAGAGTTTCTGGCCCTTTTAGTAGAGCCCTGTAGAGACTCAGAGCAGAGCTCTACCAGATGCAAAATTCTAACAGTGTGTGGAAGCAGGTATACATAGCAATTACATTTGCACTACATTTGCAGAGGTTTCTGGTAAAATATGAGGTAGTCATTACAAATGTTTCCAGGTAGAAGTAGAGATGCTGGATGTAGTAGGTTAGATGCTTGTGAATGGCCTAAGTGGTGCCAGTTAGATTTCCGAACAGGAAACCTAGAGATCCCAAGATCCCTCCTGATAATGCTCGGTGTTTTTCTAAGCACCTTTATTCAGATGTTTGAGGCTATGTGGGAAGCTGGCACTTGAAGCCTTTGAACAGAGTTATCGTTGGATGGTTGAGCCACATGCAAACAAGAGTGGAAAGGTGTTTGCTCATCAACCTCTTCAAAGTACATGAGAAGAAGGATATGCATGCACCTGGATGAAAAACTAGCATATGGCTCAGCCAGGAGAAAAATCCTGTCATCTACCATAGAATTCAGCAGTGGTTTGCTGTTGAAAAGACATTAAATCGAATCGCTTAATTAAAATATGGACTCAATACTTTAATCTTCTGCGGTGTCCCAGGCAGTTTATTTTCTGACTTAGAGGAATGTTATGAGTATTTGACTCTATTAAAATTGTGTTTTCTGCATCTGCCTCACCTAGCTTGTCACCTGTCAGCTATTTGGGTTTGTACAGGGGTTTTTTTGTTAACTTACAGTTATGCTTTTCTTTATGTATATGTGATTTTTCAAATGTTGCTTAATGCATCCCTTTGCACTGCTGCCTTTGGCTCACTCAGGCCTGAAAAATGTCCACAAGTCTGCATTAATATCTCTGAAAAACCTGCAATACAACCACCGCAAGAACAGCAGCAAGGGCAGGAAAAAGACAGTCTCCCTCCTACAGGACAAGATGAGATTATTTGTACAGCCCAAGTGGGCGAAAATGGCCATAATGAAGTCCACCTTGGTCAAACGTCTAAGCTTCAGGAGGTTCCTGAGGAAAACAAGATGGAAACACTGTCATCCAAGGATGAGCATCTGCAAACGTGAGCTTTCTGGTGTGAATCACGCCGTTTGTGTGCCCCTGTGTGCACACTTCAGAATTCTGATTGTGCATTGCCTGGTGTGTTTTCAGTCCAGACTAAAACACTGCATGACAGTAATACACGTTTTAGAAACAAATAGAATGGTTGTGTAATGCATTTCCTTATGAATTTCTTTAAATATTTAATTGAAAGCTAAGTGAGAGGAATATTTGATTACAGTATAAATGTTGAATTGCAAAAAGAATTTATGAATAGGAGAGGCTAAAATGGACTCTGCTTATTGAGAGATGTTCACCCTATTTCTCCATGATTAGAAATGTTGCAGTGTCGACTTTTGAATATGGTGTTCTTCTATGATAAGTCTCAGATATAAATATGTGGTTTGCACAGCTCTAAACAAGACCATCACTTTAATGAATGACACTGGCTTCTGTATTACCAGTAACTTTTTTCAGCAACACCCCCCTACTCCAAGGGAAAAAAAACAAACAACCAACCAAGCAAACAAACAAAACAAAAAACTCAAAACCAACGAAAAGAAAAAGGAAATCATGTGACTCACTTTTTGACTGTAATATTTGTCTCTTTCATGCTTCAGTAATGGTGATTCTGAACAGTGCTCTGGAATGTAACCGTTAAGTTTCGTCTCCGTTTATCACATGTATGGCACTTAATGTAACTGTTAATACGTTGTCTATTTTCAATAACTATTTTCAACACACATTTTAGGTATACTTCAGCAGATTTTTTAATGGGGGGCATTAGCATGGGTTTAGGGAGGGATGGGTGGTGTTCTCATGTAGTTTGACCTCCAGATGATCAGGTAAGTCTTGTTCGCTGAATACATAATCCCTAAACAGCATAGTTCTGTTTTGGTCAGATTTACTAGTGCAAGTGACAGTTGCACAAATTGTATGGGTCCAGTTGCAATTACTACTTAATGTGTTTATCCACGATCTAATTTTATATTTGGTCTTGTAGATTCGGCCCCAGAACTGCTGTGTCTGATGACGCAGAGTAAGTTGTCTTGTGTTCACAAGATTTTGTTTTAAACAACTTACACTGCATGCTCTCCCATCTTTCTACTAATTTAAAATGCAGTTGATGCCTCCTTATTATTTTGCAGTGTTTCGGCAAATAAATTTTTCAGAAAGCACTGAAAAATGGAATGTAATGTGGCTTACATTGCAGTTAAAAATAATTTTTATATAAAGGCCCATAAAAACTAAGCATAATACTAATGTCCAGCTGTTGCTTGAAGTATTGTTTCTTCTTTTTTTCTTTTATTTTCTCTTGGTTTTCTTCTGAATTTCCATTGCCTCTAATCAGCTACAGGTTAAGGGAGTTGGGTTGAATCTGGGTGTTGAATCAAAAAATGAAGTAAGACCAGGAAGGGGAAGAAAAAAAAGAAATCCCAAAGCAAAATAAAATCTGTTGTGCTCTTCAGAATAATTACCAGAAAAATGCATATTTAGCTGATCCTTTATTCTCTTTTAAAAACTTTATATTGAATACCTTATAAGTTAGGTTTAATTTAGTAATGTACTAAACTTCATTTTTTAAACACTTCACCTCGATGCTTTACTTTTGACAGGAGTAGAACTGACATTTATTACACTCAAAAATTTTAATTGTGTGTGTCTGCATGTAAACTGGAGTACAGAATAGTATGCAATGTCATTTAGAAAGTTCTGTGAAATTATTAGCTATTTTTACAAAGTGCTGGCATTTAGAAGCAAACAAATGGCTGAGAACTACCCAAGTAAAAATAATAAACTAATAAAGCCACATAATAAATGTCTGTAATATCCTTCTTCTCTTCACAGAAATGCACGTGACCTTCTCTGTCTCCCAGATTAAATCCCCAAATAGAAACAACATAAAGAGTTGTGGGGTTTTTATCATGAGTATATAGAGTTTTTATCATGAGTATAGGCAGAGACTCATATGTAATTTTTCACCCTTTTCTCTAATGATAAAGCTTAGAATCATGAACTGAATGCTCTTTACAAGTTCTGTAATACCTTTATGCTGAGCAAAGCCTGTGTCCTCTGACTGCAGAGTAAATATGAACATTTTCAAGCAGCACAAATCTGTCCAATCAAATGAAGGGATGAGACAAAAAGAGCAAAATAATACAGAAGTGTTATACTTAACAATAGGGACTTCCCTGCCATTTCAGAAAACCTACTTGTGTGATTGATGTTTTCATTTTTGCATGTCTGTATTAAATGCAAACATGAGAGAAGGTACATGGAGATGCCTTCAAAGGCATTGCAATGGGGTTGGTGGTATAATGGGAGAGTAGCAAAGATTAATAATCATATTGCTTATTCCACATTGATTCTGATTTTGTTTTAAAGGGCAAAACAATAAATATTCAAACCTCATCGTCATCCTTTCCAGATGTGCCACAGTTTACAGAGCAACTGTTTTCCTAAACTGTCTTTTAAGTTTTTATAAATGTAAGATTGTGTTTTTCCATCTGAAGACAAAGTACTTATGAAGAATCTAATAAAACTTGGCTCTTAAGTAGGGGAAATAAATTGAACTGACATTTAAAATACTTCCAAAATGTTTGTCAAGTCTCCATTGAAAACTGCAACTTGAATTCAGTCTTAGACTAGATGCACTTTATTCCAGCAGCAAAGCTAGGAACTGCAGTATTAGACTGACAAAGTTCCCTTAGCTGGTGAGGGGGACACTAGATGTTGTCATCAGCCCTTGTCTGTCTCAGGGTCCAGAAGAGGCAATGCTTAGTGTGTTGCTGCTCATCAGGCTCATTCCCATCTCCTGAAGAGAGAGAATTTGGGTGGTACCATGTCAGTCAAGTGTGAGTTTAGGCTTATAGTGAGCTGAGATTTTTGAGTATTTGTTAACTACAGTCAGATTCTTTAGCCATTCTGTCCCTTTTTATGTTTACTTTCTTAAGTCTTAGTATGACTGTAAAATGGTAATGGAATGCCATAATAAATGCCTTACATAAGGATTTTTAACATTTTCTTATTAAAAGTTTTTTACCTGATTTCTCACTTTTGAATTAAATAGTCTAAATACTGAATTCCTTGAGAATATTTTTATCTAACACTTGTTCAGACCTAATTAAAAAAAAAAAGGAATTGCTGCATGATATCACTGACAAGAACAACTGTAATTTGTGAGAATAAAGCAGTGTAACTTTAAAATCCTAGCATCCCAAAGATCTAGCTCTCCAAAATACACTGTTGGTCTACACAGTGTTTTTTTCCAGATTATTGTTAGAATATCAGGTCTGATACACTGGTCAACAGAAAGGCCTCTTTCTTCTAGCCAGAGTTCATATACAATCTCCAGAGCTGTGCAAATGACAGAAAATTAATAAACTCTAATTTGGTGCAGTTACATCTTCCCTGTCTACTTGAGTGCTGTGTGCCTGCTGCTCCAGCGCACAGTTAAAGGAAGGAATAATCTAGTTCTGTTCATACAGGTGTTAGTGATGGTCTGGAGCCATTTGTAGTTTTTACAAGAAAGAAAGAGGATAAAATTATATGGGACTCATCGTGATAGTGTCCTTTGGCAGAAGCTTGGAGTTTTGACCTCTCTGATTCTTTTCTAAGGATGAACTTGTCAGGCAGAGGAGTTGATGTAGACATTTCAGTTGGCCTTGTCCATGTACTCAGGAAAGTAGGTTGTTTTCCTTGATGGTTACTACATGTTGGTCAGAGCAGAGCACAGTGCTTTGAGATGTGACTCCTTCAGATTGCTCTCTTGGGAAGATACTGTTGAGGCATAACATGTTGGTGCAGAGTTGATGTTTGAACCAACCTGGTTGCTTGTCCATGGCAATGAAGGCCCAGCAGCGGGAGGTGACACCTGGAGTAGGAAGTGTATGTGGGGTCATAGTGTATATTTTGACTCCTGGCCAAGGCTGAAGCCTTTTCCAGAGTACCTTTTTTGTTGCATTGTTAATAGCCATAAAACCTTTTGCTGTCTCTGTGCACCCTGTGAGACCTGAATGAATTTAGGGAATGTATACTAGCCTTTCATTAGGACATCTGGGGACTCCTGCTAGAAAATGTTTTTATCCCAAATGGCAGAGGGTGAGTACTCATGCACTCTGCTAGCACCAGTTGCCACCATTTAAGGTCTTATGTTTTCTTCTACTGCATGTGAATGAAAAATTCTCTGACACAAGGAAAAGGTACAGGAGAGGAGCTACGCAACCAGTTTGACCCAGTAGGCACAAGGTGGCAAATACTGAACACTAAAGGCTCTTCTTAGTGTGAGTTTCAAAAGCTGGAATAAAACCTATAAGGGTGACTTTATTGGAAGTTATGCATCTCCCAACCTACCTCACCAAATATGAATACCTCCAAAATATGACTGATATTTAAATGTTCTTAGTAGGTGATATGCCTTCAGTTTTAAAAACAACAAAGCTACCACTCTCTTTAGATTCTGTTATTTAGGAGTGCTCCAATCCCATCCTGAACAATGCGATCCTTAAACTACCCACAGAAAAACCCTCAGCACTCTGTTTAAAGGGTGAAGCACAGTAATACATTAACTTCACTGTTCATGCTTAAAGGAAGTAGGATGTTTATTCTGTTCTTCATTTCTTAGTAAATACCTCCTGAATAGGGTGGGATCTGTGCATGTCCTTTTCCATCCACTGTCCAGACCCTTCAAGTTTTCCCTTGAGAGTGGCATTCCCATCTTTGCTTGCCTGAATACAAATGTTGGCTCAATAAATATATGCACAGCTTTCCCTGTCTGTTCACTTTGGTAACTGTGGACACAGTCACCTACAATTTTATCTTCGTTGGGTGCTTCTCCTGCTAGTTGGCTCATTGGCTCACCTAAAGCTACAGGTGATCATTTGAGGACTGCTGTGAAATCACTTCATGTGGAACTGCATGGCTTTCTTTTAACTTTTTTTTTGCTTTGAATGGCACAACTCAGGTCATGTTTTACTAATAATAGGTAGTAGTAAGCACGTTACCTTTGTGTGAAGATCTTTATATAATACAAAGGCATGTATATCAAACCATAACCTTTTTTTTCCTTTAATTCTCCAAAGGTCAGGGACAGAAATAGAAAGAAACTTTTTTGTCCTGATTGTCAGCTTTTCCTTGTTAGGTTAGCTGTACTAATGAGTTGGTGCTGATAGCATTGGATTTCTTTGAGGCAGGGAGGGGAGAAAGTACCATACAATTTGAATTGTGTGTACTTTTCTGGGCAAGCTCTCCCTGGTTTTGCAACAATAACATTTAGCCAGCCATGCTCCCCCTGACACACTTCTCAAGCCTCTCTTGTTTTACATTGAAATGGAAACTTCTGTCTGTGTTGTTAATTGGAGGGGTCTTGAAAACTCACTGGGCACAGATCTTCAGGAAGTAATATGTTCTGAATGATAGAATGATTTTAATAAGAGCTATTGATGGAAGTGTAAAGTTAGTAACACTTAATGAGAGACAAAGTTGCAGTCAACTAACAAAATCAAGAGAAAGTTGAAGATTATAATGCCTGAAGTACTATGTGGGAGCCACAAGGATGCTAACAGGTCTTTCTAGGGGACTGCTGCTTTTGGGAGCTTCATAACAGTGCACATGGCTGATTCTGCTGTAGCACCCTCATGCGGCTTTAGCTCTTACAATCTGAAGGAATATAAGCCTCCAAATAGCATTACATTTCTTGTTGTTTTCCCCTTGTTTAGGAGTATGAGCATGTTTGACATGAGATGTGAAGAAGAAGCTGTGACTCAGCCTCACAGCAAAGCTCGCCATGAGAAACTGCAGAATATACACAACCAGTTGAAAGAGGACGAGACCAGATGGCAAGATGTGAGTATACAACATGGCAATGCTGGCAGGCACCGAGGACAACTTGCTAAGTCTACAGTTGGTGTCTAGTGCTTCACATAATCAGCAGTGCTTTTTTTTTTCCTCAGTGAATTGTTGCTAAAAGCTTAGAGGTTCATAATTTGATGTAAATTACAGAATACGTTGTCTTCTGGTGCCTCCACCTTTGCACCAGGTATTTTGCTTTTTAAAAAAAAGCTAATTAAACTTTGATTAGGTAAAAATGAAGGCAGAACAACTTCTAAGTGCTACCTTCTCTAACTTTTCTAATTAGTAAATGTCTAAAGTGACAAAATACAAGACTAGGTAAGACAGTGAATAAGTAGGTTGGACTTGTCTTTAATAAATTTGCATAGATACAGAAAATGCTAATGTTTTCCAACTTGTCCAAGCAAACAAATTACCCTTCCAGTTAGCTACACCCTGCTTGGGGGCTTTCCAAACCGTCTTCCCTCGGTGCGTTTCTGTAAGCTGTCCTGGCATTTGTTAAATTGGCAAGGACAGAAAATCATCATATGCAGGTAAGTTAGTATCAGGAGTTGTAGTTTCAATTCTGTTCATTCCTAAAGACTGATTTTAAATGAGGGATTTTGGACATTTTTTTTAATTACAAAAAAAACCACAACAAAAAACACATCGCTTCAAGTATGGTAGTTCCCCATTACAAGGACAGCTACTGTGAAACACCTCAGAGAGGTTTTGGGTAGAAAATTCAAGGAAAAGTAAAAAAAAAAAGTATGTACAGCTAAGAAGTAACTTTTTGTAGTAGAACAACAAAGGACTTCAGCTGAAGTCTTTATGTATGGGAAGCCGTGGTTTCCCAGCAGAGATAAGAATGAGTCCAAAGGCATTCAAGAAGTTTGAGAACTTGCTGTTGAATTGAAAATTGTCTGAGGTAAAGGGCCTAAGTATTCCAGGCCCTCAGCACCTTCTACACTGAAGCGAAAGTTCTGAAGAGGTACTGAAAATGCCTTTATTGGAATGTCCTTGACATGTTCAGGGCTTTATAGAGACAACAGCATTTTCATGGTCTGATATTTTTATGTGCCTGTGCTGTATATTTGCCAACAATTAACAGTTTCATGGCTTTTTTAAATTATTGTTATGATAAAGCATCAGAAGTGGAAAAGATAAACATGTCTGGGTTTTAATTACAAAAAAAGGAGGAAAGGTTATGTTACAAAATTTCCTAATGAAAAACTAATTTTCAAACAATAGGCAATAGTGGGGGTAGCTGAATAAAGAAATGCTTTGGTGCTTCAATGAGAATAATTAGTAACTGAGGAAAATGAAAGGCCTATGTTACATGAAGGGGATTATACACTGATATATAGGTCATGTGAAGAAATACTTTAATGAGCATTCCCTTAAGTGTAAGATCAATAATTTGTGCTTTTAAGATAAATTAAAAGTGACAAGGTTTGTTCCTGGTTTTAATAAAATAAGTTATGCTTGCACTACTTTCTGCTGTTTACCAATAAAAATGCAATTAAAGTATTTGGAAAACCATGTAATTAAATAGCTTTTGAATTGAGTATGTATACTGAATATCTGTGTTTTATTAAAACCAGAATTTATTAGAGTGTATGAAATATAATCTGTATAGTAGTCTCCTGATGTTGTGCAGTTAATGACAATGTGCCCGTACAGTTTCCCACAAAGTTATTTTTCTTTGCAGAAGTGCTGCAGTGGTTATTTTTTACATGTAAAACTTTGTTCCTTTAGTAGTTGGCTGCAAAGTAATTTTATAGCTTAGGAGACTTCTTTACTGTAATACATGTACTGTGAAGAAGATCTTGCTCCTATACCTTCCAAGATTTGTGAATTCATAACCGAAGCAGGATACAGGACATAGGGGCCCATAACAGGTATTCGCCATGACTCTCTGGTTTAGTGTCAGGCTAGTTTTTCAACCTGACTGGAATCAGTCAATCTACTGCACAATTTCAGGCAGGCAGATTCCAAAAAGCTTAAGTTTGTTACTTCAACAAGGACCTCTCTCTGTAGCTGAATACAAAGCATAGGCTTTTTGCTCTGTCACAGGTGTGAGCCACTTGGGTCGCTAACCTGTCTTGCTCACATCTGGATCCAAAATATTGCAGAGTGCTCATGAGGAAGAATTTAAATTTGGATGCTGCACTGGATTTTTCTATCAAAAAACCTCATCATGGGTCAACCATGCTTGCATGTAGTTGACTGATAGCATGGACACAGTATGGAACTATCAGCTCTCCAAGGCAGACTATCAGTGCCATTGTAGCTCATGGTGAAACAACATCCATTCTTCCAATGACCCCTGCCTCCCATATATCTGATTATGAAATTCTTCACCAAACATAATTTTTCTGCTGAATGTTCTTGGGGGATTGGCTTTTGTCCCTAATGTTGGCACAAGTGAAAATGAGTGCTCTGACTTTTCCTTTTAGGCCAAATTTCCTACCAAAAATAAAGTAAATCAGAGAAGTTATGAAATCCTTACTCGATCCTGCTGTTCGGAGAAAAATCAGTCAGGCAACATTTTCATTTTATGGTATAGTCTCCTTTTCTCATTAAAATAAACATTGGTGCCTGCAGGTGGTGAGAGCCCTGTCCACAGCAAGAACAAGCTTTGCAAAGTGGCTGGTTGGGTTCGTTGTTGTCTGGGACCAGTTTTTAGCTATTTGAAGTTCTGCATTCAGGTGCCTTCCTTCTCTCACAGGACCTGGCTCGGTGGAAGAGTCGTCGAAGAAGCGCTTCACAGGATTTGATAAAAAAGGAAGCTGAGAGAAAGAAAATGGAAAGATTACTGTCTGGAGACGGAACGAATGAGCGCAGAAAAAGCATCAAAACCTACCGAGAAATTGTGGAAGAGAAGTATGTTGTTTTGCTGAGGTGTAGTGGTATGTCTCAAAATACCATGTGCTCCATAGGTAACTGTGGGCAGCTGTGTCTGCGGGCCTGAGGGAGGGAGGGAAGGATGTTGTTGGAGCAGAGGAAATAGGTGTGATTTTCAGTGTTAATTTTAATGCAATGGTCTCTTGTGTTGTCTCCCTTGCAGAGAGAGAAGAGAGCGGGAGCTTCATGAGGCATACAAGAATGCAAAGACACAGGAGGAGGCTGAGAGCATCCTCCAGCAATACATTGAAAGATTCACTATCAGTGAAGCTGTCCTTGAGCGTTTGCAGATGCCAAAAATTCTGGAAAGAAGCCATTCAGTGGAGCCAAATTCCCCACTGAAAGACCCAAATCCTCTGAGATATTTAAGGCAACAGTCACTTCCTGCTCCAAAATTCACTGCCACCATTGAAGCAACCATTGTTCCCACCACTGAACTAGAGTCCAGTGGTTCGACGGGACGCATATCTCCCAGCAAAAGCACCCCCAAGGCTGTGCCTATGCTGACACCCAAGCCTTACTCACAACCCAAAAATACACAGGAAGTTTTAAAGAACTTTAAGGTAGGATACATCACACTCCCCCGAGTCGATCAGGAGGTGGAGATCCTAATTAAATATCTAATTAATTAATTAATTTAATTAATTAAATATGAATGTTTATTGTAATTAAGTAGAAAAGAGTTGCAGCACTCCAATGTTATAAAACTCAGCTTCTGCTCTGTGCTGCCTGGTTCAGTGATCTCTTCTTGGTTACCAGTCTGCTTAGAAACTTGACCTGTTTGGACTGCACTGGTCATTTTTCCTTAGGCTTAATTTGGTTGGGGAAAGGAGGACTTCAAGAAAAAAGCAAGCCATTTCCTCAGAGTTTGTAAAAGAGTATGTGGTCATGCTTTTGTTTTTAAACAACATGTAAGGGGCGGGGAGTGTGGAGGCCCTGACTTTTGAAGCAAGACCTGAACTGACTTTTACATCAGGGATCTGATTTTTGCCACACCCATACGAGCCTGTCCCATTCAGCCGAGTCATAAGCCTTGGGAACACTGAAGTATGCCTGTATTCAGTGCAAAGTGTCCCTACTCCTGCACAGTCAAGAGCCAGCCTCCCAAAGATATTCTCTGTCTTAAACATGCTTCTCATGAGGGATGAATGGGGAGAGCTGCTTCACCGGTGTAAAGAGAGGGTTTAGGTTGTCCATGCAGGTTTAGGGAAACAGATTGATAGTGGGGCAGCAGAGTAACTGGAGACTGATGGTGAGAGAAGGGGAGTGGCTGCACTGAATTGCTTGAGTATTGTGTTCAGCTCTGGGCCCCTCAGTTCAGGAAGGATATTGAGGTGCTGGAGCGGGTCCAGAGAAGAGCAACGAGACTGGTGAAGGGACTTGAGCACAAGTCCTATGAGGAGAGGCTGAGGGAGCTGGGGTTGTTTAGTCTGGAGAAGAGAAGGCTTAGAGGCGACCTCATCACTCTCTTCAACTACCTGAAGGGAGGTTATAGCCAGGCGGGGGTTGGTCTCTTCTCCCGAGCAACCAACAATAGGACAAGGGGACATGGGCTCAAGCTCTGCCAGGGGAGGTTTAGGTTAGATGTTAGGAAGAAATTCTTTACAGAGAGGGTTATCAGGCATTGGAACAACCTACCCAGAGAGGTGGTGGATTCACCATCCCTGGAGGTTTTTAGAAAGAGATTGGACGTGGCCCTTAGTGCCATGATATAGTAATTGGAGTTGGATCGGGGTTGGACTTGATGATCTTAGAGGTCTCTTCCAACCCTACCTATTCTATGATTCTATGATTCTATGAACTGTGCTAAAATTATGGGAATAAAAGAAGTGAGAACTTGAATGAAAGCAGGGCTGCTGGGAATAAGGAGCCAGCTATGAGATTTGTGAGAGAAGAGGATAGGAGAAGAAACTGAAGCCAGGATATGGAATGTGAGGAGCGTATCTTTGGACTGGGTGGTTGTGGAGAATTGGAGTAAGGTACTGAACCAATGATGGAGAAAGCAAAGAGCTGGGATGTGTTAGAGAGAACAGACCAGAATAAGTCAAGTTTGAAAATGTCTGCTGCGCACAGTGCCTGTACCAAAACTGGAGTTTACCCAAGTCTCATTGGGTAGCCATGTTGTGAGCAGCGTATAGGCATGGGTGCCCCCAGCCTGTAGAATTTGGGTTCCCTTGTGTCTGCTATTGCTGATACTTTGCTAGTGATATTCAAGGATCCCTGAAGCCCAGTAGCATTGCTACCATGTATATTCAGGTTGTTTACTTTTTAAAAAATAAGTCAGCTTTTTACAGATAGTGAAAAAAATGTGTTGTGATGTCTGTCCCACCTCTTGTGGAAACCACACCCCACCCCCACCATGTTTCCTAGTTGAAATGTGAAACCGGTAATTCCTGTTTCTCCTGTACCTCAGTTGGTATGCCCCTAGAGTTTACCTTTTAGACATCAGTGAATCTTGGATCTTTGGGTTTTTTCTGATCCCTGACTTTTTTCCTCAGAACAGGAAGATATGTGTGTGTCTCACTGTCATGTTATTGCATATGTAATTCACATAAATGGGGAGAAACTAATCCATTGATGCTTCTACCCCCCACCAACCACCACTAAAAATCTGTCTGGATCTTGTTCACATGATGTGGAAGAATGTGATTTGTCTCAGTAGGAATTACTCCCTGGCACATATAGCTGTAGCATTATTTTCCCTTGAAACACTAGTCTGTCGATGATTCTTGGCTCTGGTGACAATGTGTTGACTTCCTCCAGATCAGAGGGAAAGGAGTATGTTTGTTTAACTCTGCAGCCAGGGCATCTGTCCTGATCATTCAAACATTTGGTTTTCCTCCTTAACATAAATAAAGAAATGTCTTAGTCTAAACAGAGACACTGAAATGGATGGTGTGGCCTGCCAGTGTTTTCCTGGCTTTTTTATTTCTGTGATCTTTCATAACCTGCTTCTCTAGTAGATAATCCAACACACAGTCCCAGAAGATTTGGGGCTCAGTGTCTGCTCACTCTTGTGTTTGGAAATAAACCGTAAAAGAGATACTGTGTTAAGTGAATGATAGCAACGAGGAAAAGGAGGGAACCTTTTCGTCTGAAGAACAGTCAGAAGGGGCAAAACAGCTTGTGGAGCTGATTGCGCAAGGTGCTACTGCCTTCACCTCCTCACATGTCTGGCAGAACTGAGGATGCCCATCAACATGGAGATGGCCCCTTAGTTAATCATGCTCATAGAGAACAGGCCTCTGGATGCATATGTACAAGAAGTCAATGCGAGGAGCGCGCCCTCAGCTTGGTACTGATGGTATATACCAAGTTGGAGTGCCACTCTTGAGGTATCCAAGCTGTTTACTCAATAAGTAGGGAAGGATCGCTGTGCACAGAGTAACAAAGCCCTCCTCACAAGCCTATAAACATCTGTGCTGTAGCTAGGCAGGAGCAATGTGGTGGTACTGATACCTGGTATACTCCTGGTCTCTCTCCACCTGGGTCCTCTTACGGTGAATGGCCAGTGAGTTCTTTGTAGCAAGACTTTTTTCCTGTATACTTCTACAAACAGCCCTCCAAACTGAAGGAAGTCTTTACATGCCACCTCTATTCAGGAATTACGAAGTATTAAAGTCTGAGAAGAAACTGTATTAGTGCAGAGGAAGAAGCCAAAGCATATTTTGTATTTTCTTCCTTGCTTAAGGGTTCCTTAGCGAGAATACATGGCCACCAAGGAGCTAGCTTGGCCCTGAGAAAAAAGGTAGTTAAACTCCTTCTGTGCTCTCCTTTTCAAGGAGGTTGCCCAAAGTCAATTTATTTTATCACCTCATGGAGCGGGTGGAATGCCCAGTTTCGTTTGTTGGTGCTTTGATTCCCTATTGTGAACAATAAAGAAACAAGTGGATGAACTCCGCTGCTCCTGACCCTTCAAAGTTCACACGACAGTGCTTCAGAAAGCACGATCTACTAATACTATAGTGTGGTCATTGGGATACAGAAGCAGTTCATCAGCATAACCTGCTTGCATGAAGCAATGCAAAGCCCAGCAGTTTTGTCTAAATTTAACATAAAACTTTTGATTTTTGGAAAAAATCCTTTGATCTGTGCACACAAAGGGTGTCTGTATGTTTCTGGGAGAATGGAATGTGGAAAACCAGGAAATCCAGAAAAATTATTACCTTGTTCCTGTATTTTGTTTATGACCACCCTAGCGTCATAGGGTCTTCTTCTGTTTTGGCCCATTGAATGAAATGTGTGCTTAGCTCCCTCCTTCACTGATAACACAAACTGTGTTAATGATTGTAATATCATGTTGAAGTCCTAATTTCCTAAAATCCTTTGAATGCTAATTGCCTCAGCATATTTATTTAAATGTGTTCTGCAGGTAGATGGAAAAGTCAGCATGAATGGAGAAAATGTCAACGGCACAGAAGAGAAGGATAAAGAGTGTTCAACAGTAATATTTACTCCTTCGCCAAGCAGATCTCTGAAATTTGATGGAGTAGCCAGAGGGGACAGGCCTCCAGTAGAGTTGAAGAAGGACCCCCCAAGTGTTGAGCTCAGTTTACAGAGGCCTGCCACTCAGAGTGTGCACAAAGAGCCAACAGTAAGACCAACACGAACAAACCAGCCTTACTTTCTTTGCCAGTTTTCTGTCTCATGATGTATTTAATCACGAACTAATGATACCCGAGTGCTTATGTTTGCCTTATTTCAAGAGGGTGTGCCCAGATCAGGAAAAAAACAAAAACCAAAATCCTTTGTAAATTAAAGGCTTCTTCCTTTTGTATATGGGTAGAGAAATAGGAGGGTAAGATTCAAAACACTTTTTGCAGCCAGCTTTTCTTCTTTTTTTCTTTTTTTTTTTGAGACATCATTCAGCTGATAAACATGCTTAAAATATGCTAGGCCAGGGAGAAATTGATTTAGTGTCCCAGCCATTGTGCAGGTTTATTCCGCACTTCTCCAAATGTAAGCTGATTAGATCAGCAACATAACTGGACTGCGTGAACCATTATAATTAGTCTCAGTTTTCAATTTTCAAAGAAGAGGATGTGGATTTGCTGGCAGTTTTGAACATTTGGTTTTCATTCCCCTCTCAGAAATATTAGAAAAGTGGATAAGCTATTGAAGTGCTCAGAGGGGCCAACATCTTCTTAACTGCCTTATCAGAGAAACAAATTAATTTTACCTTTTCATCTTTCTCTCCCCCTCTTCCCCAGAGAAAAAGGCAGGAGTAAAACTAGAGCATATCACAGCAGGCATCTAGATGCTACAAAACTGTAATAAAAGTAGATAGTAAAAACAAAACAAGAAATAAGGGCAGGATTGCAAATAAAACATTTAAAAGGGTTGCAAACAGCTGACAGGAGAGGGAATTCTCACCATGTTTTTCTGTGTAACAACAAAGAGAATTAGAGATGTGGTGAGAGTTGGAGTATGATAATTCTTTTCTTTCATCTCAGATTTCATCCAAGCATTGGCCAGATGGATAACAGGGAGCAGACAGGGGTCTGTCCTGGGGCGTGATGGTTCATTCATGAGAAGGGGTTTGTGTCTTACTCCCCTGCTTAATGCCAGTCTCTAGCAACAGACAACCAAACCATGGAGCCTGCAGCAGTCATGGGAACTGGGGTGTGCTGTGAGCACAGACTTGATCCTGCAAAAGGGAACTGGTATAGAGTCAAAAGTGAATGATTTGCAGGGAAGGCAGAGTTGGGGCTACCCCTGTCAGAACAATTTGGCTGTAAGGGAAAAGCCAGGTAAGCATTGCATGTGATATGGAAAAGCAGATAATGGGAGTATTTGGAGAATAGAGAAGAACCTCAGCTTGCTGAAGATTAGAAGCACAATGACACTCAGAAAAGTAGCCAGTTGAAAGTGCTACTGTCTCCTTTTTTAGGATTTCCAGGCCTAATTAGAGTTATGAGGAAATTCAGCAACAGAAGCCACTGTTAGTTCTTGAGTGTACTCATATCTGTTTGATGTTACCTCGTCCTTTCTACAACTTTGAGGACGATAAGGCCAGCTGAACGCAGATTTTTGTATGTCTGATTTCTGCTTCCAGTTCTTAGCCCTTGTGGTGATATTGGCAAAGGAGGCAGAAGAGTTTTCCTCCTCAGATTCCTTGTGAATCTTGACGTTTGCAAAATAGCTCCTGGTTCGTAAGCTTGAGTGCACTTAATGATGAAGCCTTCAAGAGAGAATGAGTGTGCACTCAAATGGTGCTATTGACAAAGTGTCTCTGCTCTAACTACAGATTTCATATCACTAGCTTCATGATTCCATCAATAATATGACTGGGTAGTGCACGTCATTATAATTACTCCTGGCTCTTCACCTTCAAGCAAAGGTATGTGTGTTAAGCATGTCCAGGACAGAGCAAGGAGAGCAGACTGCTTTCCGGGGGATCTTCCATGGGAAAACAAGTTGGAATGCACTGAGCATGATGAGGGGAAGGAGGAGACCTGCCTGTGGCTGGAAGGGAATTTCCCAGCCTAAAATAAGATTTCAGGTTTTGTTCCTTCTGGATGTTTACTTCTCTTTGCCCAGATGCTTCTTGTTAATTTTCTAGGTCTCAATGCCTCAGACTAAGGCATGGGCAGTAATTTAGCTAGTGAGCATGCAGTAGGGCCCTGATTTGTGGATGGAAAGGCCTTAGATGTCAGGTTATAGAGATGAGGTATGGGACTGGTGCTTGGCTTCTTCACTGTGTATGTTGGGACACAGACCAGCACTGCTATAGGCAGCTTGATATAGATGTGATTGGTCTGGGCCCTTATCTGCAAGAGTCGGGCGGCTACAGTGGACTCACTTCACTCAGCCTTCTCCCTGTGCCAATTTTACTTCAGTCTTTCAACAACACAACAATGTCAGCCTCATCTGCAGAGCCTGAAATGCTAAACTCCTCTCTGAAGGTATAATCCCTCCTAGGAAGATTGGGAATCCAAATTAGTAAAGATAAGATCTTCGTGGGCTTGTCCCACTCCCTGTAAAACATGGCCTCTTGCTGAGTAGAATGCTGGCTCTAACTGTCACTGTCAGCCCTCCAGAAGGGAAAAAGAGGTTTGGTTTTGTCCCCACCAGTGGGGCTTCCAAACTACACATTCCTAGAAGGAAAAAGCCTTCTGAAAGCCTCCACTGTATCACCTCCCACAAGGAGAAAACAGGGGTATAGGTTTTGTCTGATGCTTAACCCTTCTGAATTTTTAGAAGAGGAGGAGAAGACAACAGAAAAGGCATTAGAAAAGCAGCTGAGATGAAGAAGAAGAGCTGCCTGGAGTGGAAGAAATTACTGAAGTTCTTTTATCTTGAGAAAACTTTTACAAATGAAGCATGTTTTCAAAGCCATTTTGAAACTTGCTTTCACTACATTTATTTGTATACTTTATTGATGTAGTGCTTGTTAGCTGTGTCCTTCCCAGGCTTTGAATAAGATTCACAGGCAGTAATTCCTCTGTTAAGATATGGTGATTCAGGATTTGATTTTTCCCCTCCAGTTGCTCGTAGATTCGGTTTAGTTTTGTGTTTTATTAATTCATTTTCTGCCCCAAGTTTATTTCATGAAACATATATTCCTCTTCATATATACCTTACCTTTGGGCCTCCTGTCCTCCCCTTCTGATTCCCTTCCTGTTCTTTACATGTCCCTTCCTCCTCCTCCATCCCTCTTAGGGCTCCTCCTCTGCTGTTTCAGTTAATTTGTTAAATGGACTAGTTTCTGTCTTCTCTCTGCCTGGCAGGCTTCCCTTTGAAGCTCTGTAGTCCTGCTTTAAATCTGTCTGGCTGCCCTCAGGCGTTGTCTGCAATGGGGGAAGATGCTGTGCAACTGTACTTCAACAGCTTTTTTGGCCTAAAGTTTAGTCAAGTTGCACCACTTAAAACACTAATATTGTTGAGGTTTTTGAGGAGCTAGGGAAGTGCAGGAGTCATTTCCTATGGGAGCCTCAGTGTCACTTGTCTTTTTTGACAATCTATATGCGAATCAAATAATGTTTGGCAATCAGAGACTGATTTGGAAATATATATTCATCCTGCCTAAGTCTACTATGAAATGAAATGCAAAAAACTGCAAGAGGTGGGCAGGATAGTAAAGAAAAATATTATCAGGAAACTATACTTGTATCTGTAGTGTATAGGTAGAGTATTATGTATAAGTAGTGTATTGGGAATTTTACAAGAGACTTACCTTTACTTAAAGTAGCTTATGAAATTTTGCTGGTGATTCAAAGCTAGAAGGATAAAGTTGACCTATAAACAGGATGAGAATATTCCACTGGTGTTTGTGGAGCGATGTAATGCTAAGAGGGGTGGTAGGTAAAGCACACTTCTCTTAATGCAGTTTTTAAAACTGGGACCAAGGCATAAAGACTGATCAGTCAGTGGCAATGCCAGCAATAAGATGAGAATCACCTCCTCGTCCTGGTCCTACCTGTCAGCCATTTAGGTTGTGTTTTCTTTCCATTATACAGAACAGTAATGCACATACAAACACTGAGAAGTTCTGTCCTCTAGCTCTTCGAATCAGAAGTTGGCAAAGTAACTGTTTTGTTTTAAAACAATGTTTGTGCAGATTTTAGTGTAGGGAGGTTGATTTGTCACTAAGTAACATCACTTTATTTTATCAATCTTATAAAAAGAGCATTTAGAAATTATTGGCTTGTTATAGCTCTAATTATAACTTTACTCTAATCAACCAAAAAATAGTAAATATAGGCAGCAACTTAAATAAAGATCAGGGTAAGGTGGTGATGGTGGGGAGATAGCTTTCTTTTAATTTTTCTCTAGCTAGCTTAAACTTGTCCATTTCTACTCACTGCATGCTTGGCACAAAATAAACTTTTTTTTCTATGTCCACGTAACACTCTCCTTTATCTTCAAAAATCCACTGATTGAACTGAGATTAAAAGTACAAGTTTTCTTGCGGTTGAGGATTGTTGGCCGAGCTACAGGAGAGCAGGGCTGATTTGTACAGATCTGGTAAGACAAGTCTTTGTTCTTTGATTCGTTGCAAGAAACACTCGTAGAGTAAGTATGCCTGTTCCAGATTGACAGTTTTGCCTTGAACCACACATAAAAAGGTGTATGGAGGGCTGGACTACCTGAAGGGAAAAAGGTTTGGGATGAGAAGTGAGAACAGCAAAGCTTCAAAGCAGCTAGAAGGGAACTCTGCTCAGTGTTTGGTTATGAATATAACATGCCTGTCTCCTGTCCACCAGACAGCCATGCCCTTTTCAGTGTCTGTGAGTGACAGGAGCTTATTTTACATCCCGATTGAGCAGTAATGACTGTAATGACTATCAGGAATACTTCACACTATTTCTTGCAACATTTTCAAGGCTTCTCTGTCAGTTACCCTGATCTTTGGTTGTAATAGATGGCATGAGTATAGCATTATATAGCTGGCAGATGGCTTAACCTGTCAAAGCAGTGTTCTGGCTGTAGTAATATACTGGCATAGGATGCAAGAAACTTAGTGGTGGCAACCCAAAGTCATGCCACCATTACTACTCACAACAACTGAAAACACTAATTTTGGTGAGGAAATCATCGTATGAAAATTTTAAAGACAATGATATGTGTAGAATTCGAATCACAGAAGTTTAAAAGATGTGTCAGGCAATTTTTACATGTGGCTATTGATACCACAACCAATTTCATTCCTGAATGATTTTACAGAATTTAAATTGTAGTTCTAACCTGCTTCTTCCTGATATCTCTGCATTCTCATTCTTTCCAGACAACTTGTTTCGTCATGTTTTCATAGCAAATACAGTAACAATATTTCACGTGTTTTTGTGTGCAAGCAGTGTTAACTGAGCTATGTTTCAATTTAATTTGCAATAAGGGCTAATAAAGTTCTACTATAACTTCCTTTGGAGTTTGTATTCTTGTAGAAGTTGTGATATTATGTGTGTTAGGTGTTCTGGGTACTGTATTTTTAGGGTTTTATAAGGGTGTATGATTCTGCCACAACAGTAGGCAATATGGCTATTTCTGGCTTGTATGATCTTAATTAAAGAAATACTTGGACTGATATCCTAGTTTATGTGGTAAAAATCCTATCTGTCACAGGCTGAACTAATTTATTTTCTTGCCTAATACGTGTTTGGTAACACTGTATGTGCAGCTGTGCTTGTGTCTTTGTTAGATGGATACCTTGTTTAACAGAACCCAGGTGTTGCTTTGTCCTCTGTTACTGATCTGCTCATAACCACAACTGCAACCATGATTTTTAATTTTCCATCATTGACTAAGGCTTCTAAATTGTAAATGGCAAAGCTACCAGGAAACTCCTGGGTAGCTAGATACACAGGGTACTGAAAACACCCATCCAAATAGACAGCAATCTCCAGTTTTCAGGGGTTAATAGGACAGAGTCTTCACGCCAGCCTGGATCAGTGGGCAGAGATAATCACAGCCCCTACATACCAAGGTGTTTCCTACTTCCCTTGAAGGCTTCATTGCCTCTGGTGGTGGACAAGCAGGTGTTGTATGACCTTCCCTCAGAAGCACCTGCAGCAGAGCCAAGGTGTGGAATTGCTCTGCCACCCTGCAGAGTGAGAGTTCTGCCCACACAAACGCATATGGCTGCAGCAGAGAGGTGCTGAGAGGCCATGTGAGGCCTTCATCCCAAAGTATGAGAGCTCCTCTGTATTACCTCAGAAACATCACTCAGCAAGTTATCCAGTTTTTCAGTGTTCACATCAAAATATGATCCCCTTAGGTATAATAAAATGCTTGTATGTGTTTTTCTCATGTTCAGTGATAACATCATCATTTATTTACAAAATATTTATGAAATGTGAAGGGTGATAGTCTGTGGTAGTAAAGATATTTTATCAACTGTATGAGCACAAGAATTTTTTTAAGTGTATCATATACCTGTGGATAAAATACTAGATAACATTACATGAACTTGGTATTATAAATAGAATTAGATTTAGTGGAAATGAGAGAGTTCCCCAGTGAAGTTGACTTAATTTTTTTATAAATTACTTACTAATCAGTTTTATATTTTTAGCTGTATGTCACTAGCATTTAATTGCTTACCAGAAGGAGTCAAGTCTCATGAGCAGGAACAGAACTTCTGCAGCATGCCATTGAAAAAAATCCATTTTCCTGCAGCAAGTAGTTGCTCTTCCTTTTTTCTATAAATAACATTTATGTCAATACCTGGTTCAACCTCCTGGATATAGGTTATGGGTAGATTTAGTTATTGCGCTTTTGCAAGATAGCTACGTGACAGCGCCGTGTTTAGGTTCATGAGGTGACTCAAGGCCCAGAAGTGATAAAAGTGCATCATGTCTGTGCATCATGCATCATCTCAGCATTCACTGAGCATTTTAACCCCACTGAGAGGCCAGTGTGGGTGTGCTCTTTCTCCATCTCCAGCTGACATCAGCAGTTGCCCTTCCTGAGTGTATGTAACACTTTAACACTTTTTCTGTTGGCCTGTGGTTATTACCATTTATGGCTTTAAAGCCTCCAAGGTTGAAATTAAAGTTGAATTTCTGTATTTATTTTAATTTTTCAATTTGGACAGTTGCTTTTTGAGAGTGGAGGGGGAATTCCATTGTTTTACCAAAAATAATAACAATCTAAACATTAATAATTGAAATTTGCAACAATTTCTTTGAAAGGGCATAAGGTTTGCAGCAGTAGGTTTGGAGCCTCTTGCTTTTCCAGATGAAATCTACCTTGTTTAGGGCAAATCCTGAGCTCTCAATAATAGCCATTTGTTTAGGTTTAACAAAGTTTTGTAGGTTTTAGAATGATATAGAATAATTCAGGTTGTAGGTCTCTAGCTGAGTCTACTGCTCAAAGCAGGATCAGGCATGAGGTCAGAACAGGTAGCTAAGGGCTTGATCATTTGAGTCTTGAAAATCTCTGAGGGCAGAGATGGCATGACCTATTCTGGCCAGCCTGTTACACTGGCCTGGCTGTCGCCATGGAGAAAAAAAAAAATACTTGTTTCTGCATTGAGCAAGGTTGGGAAGAATTTCCAGTAGCTTCTCCACTGGCTGCTCTTGTATCTGGAGCCAGAGGCTGAGGCTGAAGGAGAAATTTTGTTTAGTTGCAGTAGTGTTCTGCTGGGGCTTTTAGTGTAAAAGCTCTCAGTGAAACACAGGCTGGTATCAAGATGGGCTGGGGGAAAGCAAGGTGGGTTATATGAGAGAAAAGAGCAACTAGATGACAAGAGGCAAACCTCTGGGGCACAAGACTTGCAGTCTTTGGAGCTTTTCTCTGGGGCCTGTGTTTTAGCCTGTGCCTCATCTCCAGTGACTGTCCCTCTTTGGAGTGTGGGCAACATGGAGGGAGAGGTCTGTGCCTTGTTTGCTCTTGGTGTAGATGCATTCACAGATGGACATGGTGGATAGGAGGTCCTGGAACTTCCATGTTACCTTTTTGGAGACTGTATTTATCTGCCTCATCCAGTTTGAGAACAGCTTTTAGACAGGTGGGGGATGTGTCTCCATGTCTTGCCTGGGGCAGAGGGTGAGGGTGGGTAGAGGTGAGGGTGTGTTGGAAAGCACCAGACAGTGGGGAGGATGGCAGGCAGCCAGCTCCAGCAAGTGCTGGATGAGACATGCTGCCGCTTCTAGAGACTCCTGGCTGTGATGTGGTGCCTGTCCTACTGAGAGGTGGCAGCACAGCCCTTGGCAGCTTCAGGCTCCTTTTGTTTCCTAGCACTGCTGAATTCCTGCTGGGCTTGACCAGGTTCCTGGCCCTGGCCCCACACCAGTCCACACCATTTCCTTGCAGGGTGTCTTCCCAGACATGTTCTCTGCCCCTCTTCAGAGCATGTCCCCCTCCAGAGAGAAGGAGAGGCAGGGATTTGTAAGCTCTGCCAGCAGCAAAATTCTCTGGAGCTTTGTGGTGTGTCCACAAGTGTTGCCATCCTGTTGGCACTGCCAGCAGAAGTTCCCAGTGACTGAGCTGTGAGAGCCCAGGTCTGCTTTTCATGGGGCATGTTTGGATAAGGGGCCACAGGCTCATGTGGGCCTGCAGGGATAGGAAACAGGATCTGTGCAGAGGGTGGAAGTCTGATTCTTGCCTGCAGAAAAGAGAAAATTTAATCAGATTTCCTCCTTTGCATCTATTAATAAGATGAAGTAGTGGAAGGAGGACAGGAAAGAGAGTCTACAACAGACTACTTCTGAAATATGTTACTTTTTATTTCTAAAAGTAGTCTTTTTTATTTTCCTCTGTTCGATGTGCCATTTTCTAGATCTTCTTGGCATTAGAAGCACTGGGAAGTGGCTGATCACTTTGCTGCAGATTTTTCTTTACTTGCCTGCTGGAAAAGTGGATGTATGGCGGAAGCTGGTGAATAGATCAGCTGAAGTGTTACCCTTGTTTTGACAGTGTGGTTTTAACTCTGCAACAGCCCTGCCCTGGGTCAGGAAGCTTGCTTTTCAAAGGCATTTGAATTATTGGCTTGATATGGTCTTACCATATTTTTTCAGTCCTCTCTTAGTAGTGTTTCAAGTATTTCATTACCTTTAATACCAACTCTGGCTTTTCCCTTCAGATAACAGATTGTTTAGGCAACCGTGAAATAGAGGAAGTATTTAATTACTTTGCTACTTTTCAAACCCTAGTATGTGCTATGTATTCACTAGTGCATACATTTTTGTGTTACTCTGGAAGGGGAAACTAGGGGTGAAATGTATGCTTATCTCCAGCTAACACAATCCAAGATACACTACAATTTTAAAAGCTTGTAGGAGCTATTCCAAACCAACCACAGTAATGGCTGATGATGAGCGATTTGAAAAGGAGATTAAAGCCCAGTGATTCAACACCTGACCGGCACATACTGCTCTGAAACATACTCCTCATTGCCCTGCTGAGCTCCAAACTGATCTGGTTAGAACCCACTACAAATGAGAGCAGCAAGCATTGCCTTGAGGAATTAGCACATGCTTTTATTTCCACTGCGCTTACTCTGTCTGTGCTGTGTTCCTCTCTCCAGGCCTCCCCGGTGGAAGCGGATGCAGCTGCCAGCCCACAGGCCGAGCCCAGCCCCAACGGTACAGCCCCTGCTTGCCCAGTGTGCCCGTCCCCAGGTGGGTGTGCTGCAGATGTCAGAAATCTTGACATAAAATGAAATTGCATGCAGTCAGAGCAGTCATTCACTGCAGCAACCGCCCAAGGGATGTGGTAGAGTCCCCATGGCAGGAGTTTTTTGGGGTGCGGCTGGACAGGGTGCTTGACAATCTCCTCTAGGCTCCCTTTCCCTTGAAAGGTGGGAGTGGATGGTGTGTCAAGGCCCCTTCCAGCCTGAGCTGGATGACAGGCCCCTGTCATTCTGTGGTTGAAATGACACATCTGACTGCACAATACTCAGGGTGCAAGTTGCCCACTTTGCTGTTTGTATAAGTGAAAAGCTGGTGCCACAGTGTGCTATAACTAGAAAGCAACAAGGGTAGAAGCTATCAGTCAGGAATAGCTTCTGTTTAACACCTCCCCCCCCCCAACATTAAGAAATGGAGAAAAAGAGTAAGAAGGGGCACGTCAGTCGTCATAGGGGCTTTAAATGGACAGTATTGTGGAAACTCAGAGTTTTCTGCTTTAAAGCCTTTATGCATGATTCCTAATCTGGGGAAAGGAATTTTCTGGTAGAATTTTAATCTGTTTTCCTCAAAAGTGTGTTTCTGAAACATTTTCTTTGAGTAGGCACTTTATCTGCTGTCTGCTACCATACTAAGTTCATGGTCTTTTTTTTTTTTGGTTCATTTTTTGTAATGGGTCTATCAAAGTTCAACTTGGCACGGGTAAGTAAAAAGTACTATATCAAGTATGTATTTAAATGAGATCTCTGGCTGTAATTGTTATGTAAGCATAATGCTCCTGTTTGTTGAGGATAAATGTGACTTAAACAATTGAGCTTTGCCTGTGAACATCGATGAAGTACCATTCCCCAAAGATTAACAAGAGCTCATTTCCCTGTTAGGAAGGGCTCATTAGCTGACTTAATTACTTCAGCTAGTAGATGCCAAAGTACGTAGGGTAACAGTCTTGAATTGCACTTGGCAGGTAATGTAGAAAGTGCGATCTTGTGATGAACCAAACAAATTCTCCTCTCTAGAGTCAACAGTGATGAGCTGGTGTTGTCTACAAATCCCAAAGCTACCTAGTCTCCAGCTCCACAGCTGTGAGAAATGCTAAACATTAAGTATTGACAACAAAGTTTAATATTGGCTGGAAAGGAAAACTGAGATAGCATTGCAAAAATCGAAATGGTAAAGTAACAAGGGGTTTTTATTATGTCTGCTTTGGAGGGATAGATGTGGTCCAAACTGTGTGAACTTCTTGTAGAGTAAGCAACCTCCTCTGCTGTTCAGTACAAGACAGATAATTCCATGCTCTGCTGGTTTGAAAGTAAACAGGCAGGAGAAATGAACCCAACTCGAGAGAGATTACAAGTCAGAGTTACAATTTACTAAAAATAAATTACAATAGATGCAACGATACAGAGAAAAACTGGTTTTAACCCACAAAGACAGATGTATAATCCAGCCCACTGGGACAAGAACAGAACAATGTTCGTTGGCCCCTGTACTGAGCACCACATGGTCCCCCTGGGTGCAAAGTAAAAGGAAAGGAAAACCTGTTGGTCCAGGTGATGATGGTAGCAGTGTTGAGGTAATTATCGCAGTCTTGTCGAGAGTGGCAGTGGCAGTCTTGTTGGAGTTCTGGTCTTCCTCTCAATCTGATGAGTGGTACCAGAAGTCCCAAAACCCCAAAATTATATATGCTCAGGTTCAGGTGGGAGTGTCCAATACCTCCCCCAGGGCAGGGAGTTTCACAATGGGTGATTTAAGTCTGTGAGTCATGGGATATTTTTGGAGTCTTTGATGGTCTAGGTGTTGCAGCTGCCTATTATGCCAGTCCAGTATGACCCATTAGCAGAGATGACCCCTCAGGCTGGGTGTGAAGGTGCTAATGCCTCCCTGGGGGGGAGTTATCATAGCTGAGTCATTAGGTGTGCCCTGGGCAGCTGCTACAAGTGATCCATTATTAACAGTCCATCAGAAATGACATATAGGGTGAAGAATACACAGTTTTGGTTATACCCACGTAGTAATAAACTGGTCCTGGCCCCTGTAACTAGAACATATGCTATGGCCCCTATGCCTCTAATGGTGTGGGAACTGCTCCAATGCAGGGTGCATCTGCCTGGCAGCAGGAGCAGCCCTTGTCTCTGCTTGTGTGCAGGTTCCTGGTGGAGCCTTAGGGTGCATCACTTCCTTAGTTCACTCTCCTAGCCTGTCAAAGAGGTACATTCAGAAGCTGCCTTTGCTACTGTGGTTGAAAAGGGGACAGGATCTGAAGCTTCTGCTTTAGGAGGTTGGAGAGATATCTGGGTGCTTATGCAGTGCCTGGTATGCTGGCAACTGCTGTGCTTCCAGTGGTGGTATCAGCTGTCAGCAGTTTAGGTGTCACAGTTCTCAGCAGTAGACTTGTGTGCTCATGGTCCCTTCTCCCATAACCCAGCACCAGCTTGTGTTTTTCTTAAGAATTGAATGACGAGGTTATTTCAGTCTAAGACTTCCTGTTAGGACAGTTGTTTGCTGTCTGATGCTTAACTGATGTGATTTAGCGGAAATAGCCAAGCTGAAATATCCTCCAGTGCTGACAGTGAGATCATATTCAATGTGGTATAGCTACTTTTCTGTGTAGCATCTTAGGATAGGATTCATCACACAACTTCAGTAAAGAGATCTTAGCTCAGAAGGCACATTGTAGGCTACAACTCAGCCTGAGTGTCTGAAATAGTTTGTGTGACTCTTTCCCAAGGACTGCTTCTCTGTTTTTATTGACCATGAAGGGTGTTCCATGATGCCTAAGTCAAGTGTAAGCACCTACATTTTGACAGGTGAATTTCTCTCTTAAAGCCTTTTCTTCTCTGAGAGGTTAATTTTGCCTGTGTTGAAGAAAAAAGATTGTTTTTTCAAAACAGGCTGTAAATGGGCTCAAATATAAGTAAGAAAGTAGACTGTAAGAAATAGGCCTACATTTTATGTCAAAAAGTGTCTTAACCTTGCAATATTATCTCTTATATGTATGGATTAGGTTCAGATCAAAAGCAATTCAAGTCAACTGCAGCTTGTGCCAGCCCTGTTGTGAAGAGATTAGAATTTCTTCCCAGTCCTGTCCCTTTGGAGGAAGCTGCTTCAAGCAACAAAGATGTAAAAAAAGCTGAAATGGAACAGCAGAAGGAAGCAGAGCTCCCTCCTACACCAGAGGTATGTATGGGCAAGGAAGAGAGGGAGTGGAAAACAAAACAAAACAAAAAAGGAGAAGGATCTCACATGGAAATGTTTATTGTGGAAATTGGTGTTTTTCTCTACATAATGTCACTTCTAGAGTTCATTTAAAACAATCTGCCAAGGAATGACCCTGGAGGATGGTTTCTGTTGCCAAATCCTGTGGTCATCAGAGAGTTCCCCCTCAAAAGGAACTCCACAGTGTCTGCTTGTAGCATTTGAACCTGTAAAACTGGAAACTAGCTGGACCAGAAATGAGAACTAAACCTACAAACCCCAGTCCCACCCCCTGTTAGGGGGAGAGAGTATCCAGAAGGTGTGGACAGTGGAGCTTACCCTCTTTAAGTGCTGAACAAGTGCAGGTAGTGGCAGAGGGAACAAATGGCCGTGACCGTACTGCTGTGTCGGGTAAGTTAGATATTGGTTAGTTAGATGTTGTTAGAGGATCAGCCTTGGTGTGCAGGGCAGTGTGAATGTTAACAGCAAACAGGTACCAGTTACTTACAGGACATCAGTACTGCAACTCCATGTTGTAATTCTGGAGATAGAGTCTTCATCTTTGATAATGTTAATTCAGAAAATAAGTAGAAAGGGTTTAAATTAACCTTTGAACCTGTTGTTTTTTTAATGCTGTTTTCTGCTCCCAAATGTCTGAACAGGTGATGAAAGCAAAAGCTCTGGAACAAAAGGGGAGTGTAGTGTTGCCGTTTTTAAAGAAACTACCGGAGACCAGCCAAGTTACTCTGCATAATTCGGTTCTACAAGGTGAGTAAAAAGCATTTGGAGAACTCAGCCAGACCGTAGCTGATATGTGCATGCGGTGTTCAGGGTGGAGTGCCTAATCAATGGCCTAGAGGGTTTGGGAGCTAAAATATTATAGTTATTTTCTAGTTGCATTGACTGATATTGGTAGTGTGGCTTCTGTGATGCAAAGGACTCTTTTGGCTGTCCCCCTTAAACACAACAGCAGAAATATGACACAGTGGAGGGGGGCAGAGAAAGACCTATCTTACATTTACCTGGCCTAGCAATAAAAGCTGTATTATGCCAGTGAGTATTACTTACTGCTGCTCACAGATGAAAATGGCTTAGCAATTGATTTTATCTTGCCATAACATTTTCTGGAGATCTGCATTCTGCACTCGGCTGCTCATGTGGAGCTCCTTTTCACAGATGAACAATACACATATCTGGGCACATCCTTGAATTTGACTGCTGCCCAACACAACACAAGTTCTTTCAAAGCAGAACCTTTTTTTTTTCCCCTCACCTTCATGACAAAGTTTTGCTTGAGATTGATAATGTTTAGTAGTTTGATTTTATATTTATTTTAGAGATGTCTAGATGTAGGTTGTGAAAGAAAGAAAGATCATCTAAAGTTTTCTTACCCCCGAGAACTTCCTAAGTTGTCAGTTTATGTATAGGTAATATACTGATTAGCCCAATGTTTTCAAGGTTGAAACTCCTGAAGGTGATCCATTGAGGAAAGACTGGAGAAGGACTTTTTACAAGGCAATGTAGTGATAGGACAAGGAGCAAAGGCTTTAACCTGAAGGAAGGTGGATTTAGGTTAGATATTAGGAAGAAATTCTTTACTCTGTGTGTGGCGAAGCACTGGAACAGGTTGCCTAGAGAAGTTGTGGATGCCCCATCCCTGGAAGTGTTCAAGGCCAGGTTGGATAGAGCTTTGAGCAACCTGTTCTAGTGGAAAGTGTCCCCCTCCAAGGCAGAGGGGAGTTGAAAATAGATAATCTTCAAGGTTCAGTCCAGCCCACACCACTTTATGATTGTCTGAAAAGGAATAGAATTCTCACTTGTTTTCAGTGTGGAGGTGCTACCCAAACAGACTTTGAGAACGACACCATTTTATGTTAGGCACGAATCAGTCCAAACATCAAGTAACAGAGTGTAGTCTCTTGCCTGTTTTCTGAGTGGTGCTGAAAGACTTGGCTGCACTCTAGTGTTCACAGCACATGGAGCACTGAAAGGATCACAAAATTCTGTATCTGCAATAGGAATGAATGCAAGCACCATGCAAAGACTTGAAAGGGTGGCTGCCCTTGATTAGCATTAGTTGTTAGAGCTCTCATGTAAGTTCAGGTGCCATGTTGCAAAAGTAGCATTTAAATGCAGACAGTCCATGTGATCTTCAGGTCCACTGTAAACCAACAGGGGCCGACTGGGCCAAAGTGACTGTAGTCAGAATCCCTCTTGTGGCCAAGGTGGCTCAGGTCTCAGAGTCTGTCATTGCTTTTTGACTGCACTGTTTCTTGTTTTGTCTCTGTGCCGTTGCCTGCAGAGCCGCCTCGCGGGGCCGCGGTTCCGCTTAGGGTTCGCAACAACTGGCGGCGCTCACAGTTTTTCTCACAGTCAGGTAAATGCGGCGCAAGGACCAACTTCAGCCCTTCTGCTGCCTCCAGTTGTAGGTGTCTTCGGACGCGGGGCTGGGGTGAAGAGTGATGATCATGGGGACTTGTTCTACCTCTCGCTTTCATAGAAAGCATCTATTCCTGCTGCACAGTTGACAAAGAGCTGTTGGGTTGCATATTGTTGTGATGCTCTGTTCTCAGGCACCCAAAAGAAATCCCTTGCCTATAAATGCCTTTTTCTTAATTTCTTTACATCAGCCTAATTTTCAAAGACATTTGGATAGAAAATGGCAATGGTTCTCTTCGTAACTGTGGCTCTTGAATAGTGTAGTCCCATCCTTTTAGCTTTGCTGTACTTTTTCCTTCCTTGCACTGAATCACGAAGGGAAAAGTAGATCAAGGTAGGTAACACTCAGTGTCTGAACACTGCTAACATCTGTGGCCAGAAGTAGATGGCATTAGCTAGTGGTAGAGTAGAACCTGGTAGTTAATATTGTGCTCCTCTATACCCAGATAAAAAGTAGTTTTGTTGGTGATGGGTGTAATCTGGTTTTCTGATTTATTTGCTTGCAATTCGTTCTTGCGTTTGGTTGTGGGAGCGAATAGGAAACTAACAAGAAGCTTTCTTATACAGATATGATGTAGATTTAATTGCAGGCTAAGCACATTTTGCTATGTTAGATTTAATCTTTCCTTATTCTGGTTTTTTTTAATAGCTGAATCTGATAGTGGTGACAAATCAAATGTGAGTACCTGTTTTGCATCATTGTTTGGTTTAGAGATTTGTGTTTAGCAAAAATTAATTTTTTGCGCAAACTGTCCTGTAACATCCATAAATCACAATGAGAATTTTTTTCTCATGGACATGTGAGAGAAAAAGTACAACCCAAGTCAAGGCATAGTCAGAATCTGAAATTCATGCATTCTCCTGTTCTCTGGAGAGAATGGTAGCTATACCGTTCTCGGTTGCTGGAGCCACTAAAACATCACAATCTTGAAATAATATGTAATTGTAAATTATCCCTTCTATTTTAAATGCGTAGAAATTAAAGGACTCTACAATTCTACTGTCCTCTCAATGAAAACAAAAGAACTCAACACACCAGAAATCCTACTCTGAAGTACACAGTATTTCATATTCTCTTTGTCACATAGAAATAGGCATAATCTCTTCCTATCAGATTCAAATTCTACTCTTTGTGGAAAGGGATATAACAACAAGTGTCTAAAATTGCCCTTGATTATAAGGATTTTAAATGTATCATAGAATAATAATAGAATCCTTAGTGAAGCTTGAGGTTTTATTTCATTATGGATAAAAATTCAAAGCAAGGCTATAGGCTGTTATACTGGCAGACCTCTAAAATGAGGGAATATTTTTTACAGCATAAAATTGCTTTTCATGTTGCACAGAAGATTATAGAGAAAACAAAATAGGTATGTTCTTTAAATTTGAGTACTCACAAGGGGCTCAGTGCTGCTTAGAGCTTTCTTTAAGATCATTTTCCTTTTTCCCCTCCAGCTGAAGTTTCCTGAGCCTTTCTTTGCAATCTAAATTATTGTTTTTATCATTTGGATACCTGTGGGCAATCCCAAGTGTCAATGAAGCTAAGAATATTGTCTGCTAACTGAGAGAACCATTATCTAGTTCTCAATTTCCCATTGTAACTTCATCAGCAGGGCTAGGTCAGGCGAAGTGCAGCTTTCTCTGGTGGCCTTGTGAAGTGTAGTGTCACAGTCTAATAGATTGGTTTTCCTTCATGTAAGCGTTTCAATTTTTGGTCCTGGGATCCAGAAGAAGAGCGAAAGCGCCAGGAAAGATGGCAACATGAGCAAGAACGCTTGCTTCAGGTAGGGAAGAAACTATATGTCTTCCACTGTGTCCTTCAGCTGTTGAGTTGTCCCTTTGGACCAAAGTTGGACATTTAATGCATGTTCTCCGTGTCCTCTGTGGATTCTTGAGGAAATTCTGTGGCAGATGAGTGATCAAGTGAGCATACACACATGTTGTCTGTGGTTTAGGCACTCTGATGTCTCCCTTCCCCACTTCATGGAAAGACCAAAAGGACTCAGTCCTGCATTCCAGTGCAGAGTTAAATCAAATGTGTTGGTCCTCCATTATATTTAAAGTATGTTAGCATAGACTGCAACTCACTTAATTACTTGGAGCCTCCTTGTCAAGACTGACAATTTGCTGACCCTGATGCTTAGGCAACTCTTCTTTAAAATGATGGTCTTAATAGGTTTTTGTAGACTTCTGCTTTGTTCACAGGTTCTTCTTGGAAAATATCAAGCTAAATTTGGACATGAAAGGACTTGGGTTTGGGGTTTTTTTGTGAGGGAGGGAAACATCCTCAAGACAACCACTAGTTTTGCCTAGTGGTATGGTAAGCTCTAAAAGTACTGGCTTTGTGTCCTATTTGGAAGAAGTGCAGTGGCCCTTCTTGAATTGAACACTTGAATTTCCCAGTCAGTCAGCAGTGTCTTTTGAAACTATGATTAGGTTTGATCCCAAAGAAATCATATCTTTCTTCCACGAAACAGAAGAGCAAACAACTGTCAAAGAATGGAGAATAATAAAATGTTTTTTTTTAAGAATGACTTGTATGTCTCTACAGCTTTCTTGAGATTATTTTCTTTTAGCTAATATTGTTGTTTCCTCTTAAAATGCTGTAAAATTCTTATAATAATTTTTCTGGCATATGGGGGTGTTCTCACAATAGTAAATGCATCTCTTCTGGATTAGGCAGATGTTGTTTCTAATTTGAACAGAAGTTGGAACTGGTGTAAAATAGAAATGGTGGTCACCATTGTTCTCCATATTCAAACCAGTTCTGGCAAACAATTTTAAACACCTCTTTGAGATAATTTTTCGTGCAAAACTGTGTGAAAATAATTCTCAAGAAATCATTCCATCAAAGAAGAAAGTAAGCTACTTAGCTGCTTAGAAGCTTACTCTCTTCAAACCTTTACACACTATTCATTTATCTTTTAAACTTGCGCTGGTATTCATTACTCATTAAATTTTATTGGCATCTCTCTTAAATTAGTACCAGTGTCTGCAAAACCTGCTTGTTTATATGCTCATTTGCTGAAGTTTTTAATGTAAAATCCATGTCTCGGTGTTTTGGGGTGTGCAATAGCTTTTTGAAACTCAATCCTGTATGATAAACAAGGGATTATTGGAATTGTTGAGCATAGATTTAATTTCTGACCAAAGATTTTAAAAATTCTAACAAACTTCTCCTAATGTGTCAAAAGTTCCTTGTAGTTTGAAGATGTTAAATATAAGTGCTAGAAACAAGTAGAAGAGTGGAAAAAGAAGCTTTTTTTTGATACTCATGGATGTTTCAAATTTTTACCTTCCTATTTCATCCTATTTCTGATTAAACCAGTCTTGGCAGGTTCATTTTCATTGTGAAGATAATACAGCATTTACTCCTAATACAGAGTTCTCTGAATTTACCTGCATTTGTATTCATGTACAGGAGAAGTATCAGAAGGAGCAGGACAAGCTGAAAGAGGAATGGGAAAAGGCCCAGAGAGAAGTTGAAGAGGAGGAGCGTAGATACTACGAGGAGGTATAAGACTCTGAGGAGGAGGTTGTTTATTGACTTTTTTTTTGTATTTAAATGCATCCACTTACATAACAAAAAAACAAATCCTATCCCTGGATTAATTAATGAAAGAATTCTCAAGGCTAAATTCTCAGGAGGATGGCATCTTTTAAACAAAGCCATAGATGGTGAGAAAAAAATACTTAAACATTTGGACAGGTATCTCCAGAATGTCTGCTTAGGTGGAGGTGTCTAATTGCTGTGCAAGTCTGGGTGAGTCAGTGCAGGTGTGTCTGGGCCCACTCAGACTTCCCTCCCGAGGTAGAGCCTTGTGTGCTTTGGCATATACTTGGTGCCTAGACTTGGTGGAACTTCAGATGAAATTGTTGTCTGCCTTGGGCTTGATCACGTAGATATTTTGTAACTGGCCTTTTTTTAAAATAAAAAAAAAAAATCCAGAGGAGGTGTTCAAAGCTTGCAGTTGTAGAATATTAACAGTACATAAGATAGTGGTTGTTCATGGGTCATTATTGGAAGAAATTGGAAAACATTAATTTGTGTAACGTACTAGACAAACTGAAAACAATAATGTTTTGTCATCTATGCTTGAGAAACATACTTGCGGTCTGAAAAAGAAATTTTTTTTCAACTTTCAGAATAAGTTTCTCATGTACCAAGGGTAATTTCATATTTTTATACTAAATTGATAGACTAGTGCTGTATGAAACAATGGTGCCATCCCAAGTGGAATAATCTTTCCAGTTTTGGAAATTCCATGTCAAAGATGGTAATGGTGAAAAGAAAGGAAGTGCAAAACCTTGAAGCGAATTAAAAGTTGAGGTGTTACCATTATTCTTGGTACCTCAGGTCCTTACCTAGCCATCTAAATATGGCACATAGCCAAACCTTATGCTTCTACTTCATAAGCTCATAATGTACATTCTGCATTTTTAACTCTCTCTCTATCCTGATCCTCTTTCTTTAGGAACGCAAGATAATTGAGGATACTGTAGTTCCATTCATTGTTTCTTCAAACTCTGCTGAGCTCCTCTCCTCTTCTTCCTCTACCACTGACGGAAACAAGACAGTGGTGAGTTTCTCATGGAGTAATAAGGCAGTAAAGGTTAAGCCATCTTCAGTGCTAAGTTTAATCCTTTGCCAAAGGCTATTGAAGTCTGGGAGCAGTAAGAGTAAGGATATTCCCTAGGTCCTTTCTGTAACTGGTGATACCTCAGAGTGCTGCAACTTGTGTATTTGCACAACTTAAGAGCCATACTCCCAAGCAAACTGCTACCATCCCATTTTCAACTAGAGCAGAGAGTGGAACTTTCTCTCTGCAGCTGCTTCTCTTCTTTAACTGTTGCCATGAAAAAACAATTAGCTCTTTCTGTTTCTTTTAACTACCTTCTCAAAGCCAAAAAAATCTTAAATGGTTTCCCTGAACCCAAAATCTTGAGCGTAAGATAATCCTTTAAGCGTATCTCAGTTGAGACTGAATCCTGCCTACCCAGTTTTCCTCCTTTTCTCTCCCATCATCCCTCCTAGAAAGCAGCAAAACAGAGGATTGTTCACTCTCTGTGGTTTTTTTAATTCATGCAGGAGAGAATCTTTAATTAAATGCATCTAGCATCTAATTAAACAAGTTTTTTCCAGAGATCAGAGAATGACACCTCAGGTGAGATCACAGTAGAGTAAATGTGGGATTCCCAGACATAATTTGCTCCTGCCTAAGGCACCTGTGCCCAGTCATCTGCCTTTTTCCATTCAACTTTAGGATTATAGGAGTACTGTATCATTTGGTTTTCCTCTCCCCCCTTCCTGCCCCCTCTTATCACTCATCCCTTTGCAAGGGCATAAGCCAGGGCCCACTTTCCACATGGCTGTGTAGAAATAACTTCCTGGGTAGAGTTGTTTGTGCCACGGTCAGGGCACTGCCTGCACCCAGAAGTGAAGGATCTTACGCCATGGCTTACTCAAGCTCCACCAGTCAGTTATGAACCATTCCAGTACCATTTTGGACAACTGGTTGTTGTCCTTTGAGGATACCCAGTGCATATGAGCAAATACTTTGCCACTAGGCAGAGACAACAAGCTGAGGTCACTCACAAAATCCTTGCAAGTCCAATGGGAAACTGTTTAGACTCTCAAAGTAATTCAAGGATTTCTGCCAAAAATTGGTTGGTCCCTTACTTTTTTTGTGTTCAGTTTAGTCCGATTAGTTATTTCAGCTAAAGTTTTAATTAAATCCAAAGTTAGCCTTAGCAGATTCAACAGTATAAATGTGAGATGTTCTTTTTGATAATAAGATGTGTCAAAACAAGGTATCTAGGAGCTACCTGTACTTTTCCCATGTGTGTGCTGATGCCAAATTCAAAGGGAACTCCTTGTTTGTTCTTCTTCTGTCTTCTAGAACTCAGCTGATTCAAACAGCTGTCCAGAGGAAGGCAAACAAAAAGAAGTAACAAGGCAGAAAAAGCTGCTCTGGGAGCAGGACAGTATGCCATCTCTGAAAAGCAAGGAAAATGAACTCTGGCAAGAAAAGAGGAGGTATGTATCAAGCCTAAGCATTTTATAGCACTGTAGAGCTTTGTGTACTATAGATTCCTGGTATGTCACATCTGTCCTTGATTGATGCTGGAGCATCAGCATCTGGTGGCCTGGTGATAGATGCAATATATGAATATTCCCTCGCCCTGCATGGTAATGCACGTGTGGCAATGTACAGTGCTGGTTGTGCATATCAGAAGGCTGTTTTTGTCGGTGTATGGCTTTGCTGAGAGGCTGTCGCACCAACCAGATCAGACCTTAGGCAGCTCAGACATCTCTCTCTGTATGTCACTGCACTGTGTCTCGTGTACATTCCACAAGCCTTTTGAATGAATAAAGGAGCAGTAGCTGTTTTCACTCAGAATCTGAGTGAAATTGCCTGGCTATCTCAGAAGTGCCATCCCCAAACTTGCCAGGTGGTGTTCAAAGTCTTGGACTTTGCCCAACTGCTAATTAGCAGGTTTCACAAAGAGGAGAGGCATCTGATGATGCTGAACACTATATAGAGAACATGGATAAAAGCTTTTTCTCTGTCTAAGAAGGCATTTTTCATAAATCCAACATGATCTTCAGCACATCTAAGTGGTAGTTTGAGGTAAGCAGGAGGATTGGCCTATTTGGAGACAAACTTGTTAATTCATGAAAGTTATCCTCGTTGCTTTGTCACTGCTGATACAATAATAAAACTCTTTTTGCAAAAAATAGACTGATATTCAAAAGTCTGATTTTGCCTTTATATTCTAGGTAAAATTTTTCCTGGCTTTATTTATACAATGTGACTTATTTTTGTTGTCAGTGAAAATAAAGTGCTCTCAGGATACCCAGAGACAGGTATCTTGAAAGGAGGAAGTGAACAGGAGCACCACATGCCGATGATGGAGCACAGCTCACCTGCCAGGCTGAATCTGCCGTTGACTCAGGGTGAGAATAAGACTCTTAATATGCATGTATTCTTTTCCAGATAGGAATCTAGCAGAAATCTAACTCAAAGAATTTTGGAAATTGACGGTACACATGTATCTTCAAAATCAGAATGTCTCAGATTCAGAAGCTTTTTCTGTTAGCAAAGATAAATGTGTTAAGGTGAAATTTAAACTCTTCTTGTTTTTATCACAGATGATGGTTTTAGCAGCAGGTAGGGGTCTTGTTTGCAGGCCACCTCCCGTTCACAGTAGCAGTTAAAAATAGTTATCTTCCGTCTTTTACATAATCTTACATGAATAGGGCTTATCTTTATACAAAGAGCGTATTTCCAACACTTGCTTTGTGTTTTGATAGATAATTAGATTCTTTATGTCAATCTCAGTCCAGTAAAAATCACTACATGTGATATGTAACCTTTTCAAGACAAGCCTAAAGTGACATCTGCTTCAATTTTGTCATTAAAAATGTCTGATGGCATTTAAAGTTAATTGATTTTTTTCAAGCTCCCGTAAGTATTGGTGTTTTTTGAATGAAGGAATTTCCCCAAAAAATTGCTGTCAAGAGGGTCACCATAAAAAAAAGACTTAAATTCACTAATTTAGCATAATTATCTAAAATGAGTGAATGGTGGAAAGTAAATAATTCGGGCTAAAAACAGAAAGTGAATGTAGATTTTGAAATAAAGTTTTAGATTTTTATTTTCAATCCAGCATAAAAATTCATTATTCTAAAAAATGAAGCATGTATGGATGGAAAAGTTTTCAGTGTTATTGCTTGCTCCAAATGCAAATTCACTTTATTAAACTTAGTAGGTTTGCTTTCCTTGTCTCAGTTTTATTGTATTCTTAGTGCTTTGATAAGGGTTGCTCAAAAAAAAGCAGAATATATTACCCAGCAATATATCCTTGGGGATTTGTAGTAGTGATTAAGTAAACTTCACAGGTTTGACAGTTTTTAACTACTTCTGCTAATCAGGGTTTTTCTAGGTTCTTTTCAACAATTTGGTCCCCTGCAAGTATTCTGGCTGTTCCTTTCTTGCCTCTTAAATCATCCCATCTTTGCTCTCTGCTTAAGCCCTTAAATAGTCAGGACCATGGTTTTATTGTCTTGACATCAAAATTAGGTAACAGGCCTTTCACAGACCCCAGCAAAGTTTTTATTCTCTAAGCCAACTGGTTGGTGCACAGCAGGGTAAGGCTTCTCCCCAGCCTGTGAGCCACAAAATTCATCTTGAAGGATCCAGGTGGTGCACTGTTTCTCAAAGATGGGATGATTGGCTGCCTGGGCATCACACAGATCGCTGCATACTACTGGGAGGCTGTTATTGTCACTGAGCCTTGGGCAACCATCTGAAGCAGAGAAGGAAATTACCAGGGAATTACTGTTTGTCAGTAGTGATTACAACACCGTCCCCTTAACTCTTGTTATTGAGAAATTTGGATCCCCCGGCACCACAGAAGTTTCAGTGTCTCTGGTGCTTCCTTCATTATGACAACAATACTTTATTTTCCCAAGTGTTATTCATGAACAGCTGTTTGACCTTGCCCTTTCTCCCTTCAGAAACTGAGATTCAGCAGCAGGGTAGGTGAAGTGTATGTAAAGGTAATGCAAAGGAACATTGTTCCACAGAGGACTTCTGATGTAGCAGAGCCTGTCTCTGATTTTGTGGGAGTTTCTCAAAGTTTGGTTTTAAGTAACAGTACATCTTGTCATCTTTATGGGGTGTCCACAAGCTATGCTGGTCCATAAATATTGACAAAAGCAATAAAATAAAAATAATAAAACAAAATTTACCTCAAATACTGAGTTTTCCTCACCTCTCGTTGTAGATGTCTCCTGGAATCAGCAGTTGCTGACAAAGCAATCTCCGCATCGCACAGAGGACATTCGGCAGAGACCGTTCTCAGGCCAGACTGCGGGACAGCAGCCAAGCTCTGCAGGGGAAGCAAGGAGGTGAGAAAGTAAAGGTTATTGGAGAGACTGAGAAGTCCTCCTTGCTCTGTTCTCCCTTGTATTCCTGCTCAGCATTCTTTAGGTTAAGTTTCGTTAGTCCTGCAGTGTGAAGACCCATTTGATTCCTGGTTTTCCCACCAAGACTGCTAACATTTATCTACGTTGTTTCTCATTACAGGCACCTCCGTAAATAATTTAAAGAGGGAGAACACCCTCTGCTTGCTTCACTCTTCTTTCTCCTTAGCTCTTTAAGCACTCATCTGCATTACTTTTCATGTGCTTACTTTGTTAAGTTCCTGAGACAAACATTTATAGCTAGTAAGTAGCTAAATATCAGGGTGGGAATGTCAGGTTGAGTCTGCCTCTTTGAAGTTGGTATCCAAGAACTTCATTCCCCAGCTTCCAAATACACGTCGATTGCTACTTTCGAGGCCTTTAGGGATTATAGCTTTTAAAAGAAGATACATAAAGATTAGTATTTTCTTTCTCCTGTAAATTTTGGTGAGGTCTTTTGCTTTGCTGCTACTTTGCCTTGTGCTTTTGAGTAAGCCTTACTGAATGGTACCACCAGTTCTTTTGGTAAATAAGGGATCTGCTTGCCTAATATTTACAAAAAGCATAGCTATGTATTGAGAAAGGAACATCTGTTTTCATTAGCATATATATGAACACAGTGTTCTGCAGAATGTGTTACCTCTATGAAGCTTGTATCCAGTCAAAACTAGTGTAGATTGAGATTTGATTACCTATTCCTCAGAACTGCTTGTGCATGTAGTTAAGTTTGAGAAAACTGTTATTTAATCTGTAAACAGTTTTAATCAGTGAGAGTTTGAATCAATCCTACGATTTCTGATAACAAAAACCATTCATTTTTCTTCTCAGCAGACTCTTGCAGAGTAGAATGCATACAAATTAACCATTATCCAAATAAACCACCTTTCAGTGTTGGTAGCTGCTTTTTTACTCAGTAAAGGGCCAACAGAAAGTACAGTGTGGTGTGGCTTGGCTTAACCCTCCTTCACCATGATAGTTGCTATGTTGGGCTGATGGAGTGGACAGGAGTCTCCACGTGGCTCATCACCTTGTGAGTTACCTGATTGACCAGTAGCAAGCAGGCTAAGACTCAGATCCAAAAATAGTGTGCTATTTTTCATTGTATCAAAATGGCAATGGACAAATATTTATAACTTTTTTACCTCAGATAAAGTCTTTAGACTGGGAATCCTGAAATTCACCAGCTGGAATTTCTCCATACAAAACCTGCTTTTAATTGTTCTTCAGCAGTAGTAATGCATCTTCTCTCCTGTGTTTCAGGGCAGGCTATCATGAGAACTTCCGATCTGGGCCATCATCTCCCTGCTCTCCTGCTGCTCTGAGTCAGTCACCCAACAGGTACTAAAGGTCAATAAGGAATTTTGCAGACCAAACGCATCTTGTAGTCACTGGTGAACTGCTGCAGTGTAAATCGCATTAGTATTATGTGGAGGCACTGTTAATTTTTCTAAATGTTGCAATTCATAACCATCCGTGGGATAACCATGTAGCTCCTCTTCTTGCCTGCTTCAGCACTATTGTTATGTTTTCAAATAACACAGTTCAGAAAGCAGCTGTAGGACTCTTGCATGTCAGTGAAATTGAAATGAGACAGTCAGTCAAAGGAAGCAGTTGAGTTCAGAGCACTTAAACCAAAGGATGTTCAAATTGTGAATAGTCACATGCTCAGGAGTAAGGTATATTCTAGACATTTCAACACTTGCTGATTTAAAAAGAAATTCTTCCTTTAATTTCCAAAATTGAAACACATTTTGCTTTTTTTGCTGATTTTATCTGCATTCATGCTAGTCTCCTAGAGATTCAAATATCTCAAGCAATCTATGCAGCTTTTAGTGAGTTATGTGTACCAACTCTAAATAAATGTTAACTGTAGCCTGATTGAATCACTGCTAATTTGGGGTATATTAAAATTAGTTGACTTATTAAATAGGATAAATTAATACAACACAGAACAGAACAAGGTTTTGTTCTATTTAAATTACATTTTTCTTCATATTTCATAGCAAAGTCCTCCTTCTGATGTCACTTTCATTGACATGAAACTATTGAAATTTTTTTCTGTGAACAATTATGTTTTTCTAATTTTAGCTGCAGTTTTGGTGAAATAGCAGATAATTTCTTGTTATAGGTAGTTAGTTGTGATAGCTATTTCATATTATTTAGCAACTATATTCTGATCTGAGATCCTTTTTCAAGATCTTTTCCTGAAATAAATCTTAGTTTTGAAAATAATGGATGGAATGTAATTAGTTATTCCACTAAAACATTAGAAGACTCTTAAAAATTTCCCAAAGTGCTGTATGCTTTAATCCAACACTTTAACTTGTTCTTATGACTCTTGATAGTGGAGAAGTGAAAACAGGGGTGGACTTAAGAATGACATAGAAGCAGAATGCTTAAGGTTGTAGGAGGGGAGTAAAAAAAACAGAAAAGTTATTCTAAAAGGAATAATGATCAAGACAGTGATGTGTCTGTGCTGTCTGTGTACATGGTGGACTCAGGAGTGACAGGGATTAAATGCAAGCAAGGACAGTTCTCTAATTATGATGAGTGCTGCTTCTATTTCTCTTTCTCTTTCTTTTGTTTTTTTTTTTTTTTGTAAAATGACTTTTTTGTCATGCTGCGGTCCAGATCTGTGTCTGTTAATGGCTTATTATGTTGCTGCATCAAAACCTTAAAGCAAAACATTGTAAACTTGCTTATCTGTGTACAATTTCATCAAACCGTCTTTTCAAAACTCATGAAGTATCGCAAAGTTTCTCTCCTGGTTTCAGCTCTGGATCAATAAAGCATGGATGACACATAATGACAAGGGATCCCTTTTGGTCTCAGGTTCATCTCACAAGACTAATGATCAGTTCTGGCAGGGTGACAGGCAGGTGAGAAGGGAAGAACATGAAACACATAGAAGTCTGCACCTGCACTACTATTAAAACCATTATGAAAAAGGGTACCAGTTATTTGTGGGGCTCTGAACTTTCCCCCAACTGTCACCCAACAGCAGATTGACTGGAAAGGTCTAGATGGGACTGCTGAAGGAACGAGTTGAAGTATTTTTTGTATTGCAAATGGAGATCCAATTTCAGCTTTTCTCTAGGTAGTTGTAATACTAATTGACATGTAGCTGCAGCAGCACAGACTGAAAATAGTTAGCCAGTGTCTGGTCTGTGCTACTGCAGTTACACTGCACTGCTGACTTCACCAGCTTGTTTAGGTACAAGAGTAGCATCCCTATTTTCTGACTTGCAGTGAGCAAGTCCATTTACAAAAAAATTGATGAATTTCCAGGCTAGGAGTCTGACTTGGGTAATTTGTGTGAACATCTGCTTTGATTCCTGTGGCATTGACTAAGTCTAGGTACCCTTTACTATAAGAGTGGTGAGGCACTGGAACAGGTTGCCCGTTGAGGTTGTGGGCTCCCTGTCGCTGGGGGTGTAGACCTGGTTGCATGAGGCTCTGAGTAACCTGGTCTAGTGGAAGGTTCCCTGCCAATGGCAGGGGAGGTTAGAACTAAATGATCTTTAAGGTTGCTTCCAACCCTCACCATTCTGTGAGTCTATGAGTCCACAAGTATGGTTCCCTGCCACACAGGCCTCTGTTAAGAGGCTTGCATCTCCCTTGATCTAGCACAACAGACTGGCGGGGAAATGTGTCTGAGCTGCTGTGCATTCAAGCATTTTAAATCCTTTGCTTGCTTGTCTGCAAGGCAGACTCAGTAACATGGCTGAAGGCTCAGAGTGTATTCACATGAACCCCCTGCCCCAGTGCTTCTTCTTCTCGTCCTGTCCCTCTCCATAAACCTGTCGAAACATTTGGTTCCATTTTAGCATCAGTTGCTGTTTTCTTAAAGCCATGTTTGTCTCCTAGGTCTGTCAGCGGAAAGAAGCTTTGTTCTACCTGTGGGCTCCCTCTTGGAAAAGGAGCTGCCATGATTATTGAAACACTCGGTCTTTATTTCCATATTCAGTGCTTCAGGGTATGTCTCTTGCTTTATTAAGAAAAATCTCAAGTCATGCACAGTGCAAGTAGAAAGTATATTGAGGGCTGTAGATGTGAAATTGAAAATGAGAGGACCAGCGGATTTACATATTTCATATGTAGGTCTGTTTGTGTTTGTTTGTAAAGAAGTGGAAATAACGCAACTAATATGTTATTTTGCGGTCAGACGTTAATTGGACTAAAACCTCTGATCGAGCAAGCAAACTTAGCTTCCACACTTACAGGGGAAGCATCATATAATTTCCCTATTGTAAGTTGTTGTTGTTGTTGTTGTTGGGTTTTTTCCTTCCAAAAACATGGTCAGTCCCAAAGCCATCTTTGATCTGACCCGTGGTTGGAAAGCTTTGACTGTGAAATGAATATGATGTAGTCTGGCTTTCACTGGACTTCTCAACAGAAATACTTCTTGACTGTTCTTGAGTGTTTGAGTTTGGAAATAACTCAAAGTGTTCTCTAGAGAACTCAGAAAGTCCATTTCCATTATCTCTGGCCCAAGTGATACCAGACATTTGTGAAACCTTTTTTGGTTTTAGACATTTACCCAAATTAAACCTCTGGTCTCTCTAAGCTTTATCTATCACAACTGGGCTGACTCCAAAATGCAACCTTAAAATCAGATGTCCCTTAGAATCACTAGACTTCACTTCTGTATAAGTGGAGGCTGCTGAAATCAAGTCGTAAACACTTTTGACTGTAAAAAAAACCCTCTCACTGATTTGTTCCCCAGTGTTCCCCAGGACTATGGGCTGGGTTCTAGGAGGGTGTTTTTTCTCACTGTTCCAAGAACTACTGAAACAGAAGTAAAAAGTTGGGAAGAGTTATGACATTAGGTCATGGTCTCTCTTACTTTCTTTGTTCTTCAACTGACAGTGTGGCATTTGCAAGGGACAGCTGGGAGACGCAGCGAGTGGGACAGATGTCAGGATTAGAAATGGTCTTCTTAACTGCAATGATTGTTATATCCGATCCAGAAGTAAGTACCAAATCCTGTCCGAAGGATAAGGAACTCTAAAACTACTGTTGCCATGATTTTAACAGGTGGATTTGTCTCCTCCGGCTTTGACGCTCAGGCATAACTTTGCCATGGGAATAGGAACCTTCCCATACCATTTTAATTGTTTTCTCTTATCAAAAAAGGTTTCCATGCCCATTAAATTTTGCCCAAAGGATCTCTGTTCAGCAGTATTAGACTTAAAGGCTGTTTCTGTGCATAAATATAAACTCCTACACTATGTGCATGCATTGTATGACCTGGAGGCTGATCTCTCACATCATGTGAGAAAATATAGATAATTTTACTAGATGTAGGACCCTTGGCTGTGTTTGGAGAAGTTCCTGTTTTTTATGTCTTCAAGGCCTCCCTTTTGCAGACAAAATGGTCATGTGAAATATTAAGAACATTCTGTAACTCATAGTAATTCCTTGTGGTGGCATCCCCAGACATGTTCTAAATAGTGTTGAATGCCATTGATTTTGAAGAATGAGACAGACAATTGCATGTCAGAAAAAGACTTGATGCATTTTTCTGCCTTAGAGCAGGTCATCTGAATGTCCTTCTGAGTCCTGGATTTCTGTGACTGATACCAAATTACTAGAGCATTTCAGCTTCACACTGATGTCACAGTGATATGAGATGGGCAGTGCTCATGCTGGCTTCCACTTTGTGGAAAACAGTAAGATGCAAGAAAAAACAGCAGGAGTAATCGTTGTCTTCCTGTTAAATGCTATTGAGTATATTCACTGCCTTCAGTTCCAAGTGATAAGTGGAAATATAGAGCTCTTTTCGCTTAATATTTCCCTGCTCCTCTCTCAAAAGCAGTGGCTGTAAAAATCCAGGAGTAGGAAAGGTACCTCCATATACTGTGCAGAACAAGAATAGATACGTTTTCTTTAATGCTTCGGGAAAGAGATATTTCCCCACCAGCAGAGCTAGAGGGTGCTATTGTATAACCATTTCTTTGGTGATTTTTGTTTTTTAAATTCTGCTAAGAAATGTTAGCAACTTTTTATTAGTTATTTAACCTGACATATTTAGAAATAGCTTTTCTCCTTCAGGCTTGATACTGTAAACCTTCCTCATGTGGATGGGATCTTGACTGTAAAATGCAGATTTGCACATCCATCTTTACACAAAAAAGAGGGGAAGGTGGTAAAAGTCATAATTTCCTTTTCTTCTTAATCCTTTTTGCTTTAAAAAAAAAATTGAGGTCCCTTAAGGATAGATGAAGGCTCAAATAAATTATTTATCATCTTATATTCTGTAGAAATCACCCTCTCCATCATCATTTGTACAGCAATGTTGCTAGAAAATGCATTACAGAGCTGTGTACAGTGTTTCATGCAGTAATGTTTTGCATTTTACGTACCTAGCAGAATGGTAAGCAGGTCCATGACAGAGGGAATAGGTTTTGAGGAAATGTATAGATCCTGAAGAATAATAATGGCAAGGGATCTGTCTTTTTTACTACAAATTGCCTCTTCCTTATGTGTTCACTCCTCATGCAAAAATCTCAAAATTCAGTTAGTTGAATTTAAGTTACACTGATTGTTGTTGACAATTCAAAGGGATTCTGTGTGATTTTGGTAGAACTGCATATATGGCTAGTTTCTGATTTTTAACTAAAATTTGATGGACTGCACACCTGAAATGCAGAAGGAATTGGTGCAATACCAGTGTTTTGCCTTTGAGTTCTGGGAATAGCGGTGCAAAATGTAAAATCAGTTGGTTGATTGCATGGCTTGTACCTTCCGCCCACATGGCTGCATCTGAAAACCTGTGCAGCAATGTGCACAACTGACAGTCTCTGACCAACCCAGAATTAATCAGTATTGGTTTAAGATGCTTATGGACTCAATGAAATATTTTGGCTGCCAGAAACTTATTTTAAAATGTGGATGATTCTTTTCAAAATAAATCATCAAAAATCTTGAGAAAAGTATTAAAGATTATGTAGTGGTTCAGGGTTCAAAATATTTCTGTTTTTCAGATAAAAGTGGGTGGAGTTTTACTGGTACATTGTTTCTGTACAACAGAACCTCACAAGGAAGGAAACTCAGTATTCAATGTCAAATACGGGGAATAGTTACAGGTTTGTGAGTGTCAAAGTCAAATGCAAAAAGTAAATTCATGAGATTCCCTATATGGCCAATTAACACAAGGGGTCTGTATTACCATGTAACACAAACTAGGCACAGCTGAAGATGACTCATCAACCTTTTGCTTGACTATTTTGCCACTGCAGAGCCTAAAACGAAACAAATAAACCCACAAGTACTTTGGGAGTAAAATAAAATAAAAGTTCATGCGAAATGCATTCATCACATGGCAAGGAATATACATTTCCATTGGAGTTATGCTGAATCCTTCTTTGTAGTTAGTGCCCCAACTCTGCGGGAGGAAGAAAAATCAGGGCACAAATAATACATAATTCCAGATGCAATTTTTTGAACTGTAGAGATCATGTGAGGAAAAGTCTATATTTGTTTGTCAAAATTTGTCAACAAATGGTTTGTTTTGGTTTTGTTTTACCCAGCCGCTGGACAGCCAACTACATTGTGACATGACTTTCAGTCCTAATAACTTTCAAGAAGGAACTCTCTTCTCGTATGTATCGGCTGCCTCCAGACAATCACTTGTAAAAGCTTGAATCCATGGACATGATGGCTCTCATCTCGTTTTTAAAAACTCACAAAAAAGCTGCACCTGCTCCTTTGAAATGCAATATGTTGGTTTTTGCAAAATATGTATGACCATGTTTGGGAAGGCAAAGCCTAAGTAGTAAAAAAAAAAATCCCACCTTTCAGGTATGCTTATGATTTCCAGTCTGTTACCTTGTCCTTTTGAAAGTAATAAGAAAATAAACATGCAATAAAGCTGTTTTGTTTTAATATTTCTAGGAATTAAAAAGTTTAAGTTTACAGAACCTTTATAGAATATGCCAATTCAAAATGAGAAGTAATTTTAAGATAGTATCTAATCAGTGCATTTGAAAAGCAACTAAACATCACAGCACGACCTCTCTGTTATAACTGAAGCTATAACTTTTTTTATACAGAGACTAGTTTGATAATACATCCTGTAATTCTGAAGCATTTTGTGTTTATATTACCTTCAGTGGAGGGTAGGAGTTATATAAATAAATTATTGCACCTTTAGCGATAGGATTTTTTGTTTGTGTACCTCAAGTAATGTTCATGACTATAGCTTAATATTCTCTCAAATAAAGATTCCTTCATTAAACCTAAAGACTGCATACCGTTAACCACGGCAAGATTCCCATCAGGAGCAATCCTTCTTACTAAGTTCAGCAGCCTGTGTTGTTGCTAAACTCAGTGAAAGATGATGTGGGGGAGACCCAGCTGAGTTGTGAGTCTCTGCGCTGCAGTTTGATACTATGGTGAAGCTTTTCTCTTTGGCATGTAAATTGCTAATCAAGGGTTCACGTTGGTTTGAGGTCTGCTCATTCACTTGCAAATATTGCACTTGGTTGAAATCTAGTGCAGAGAAACACATTTGGTTTGGGTTCTCCCCAGAGCTCAGAATTAGACAGCCTTGAGCCATCCACCCAAAATAAGTCAGCAAAAGCCAAGAGTGTGGAAAGCAGGCAGGGAGGAGGCTGACAGCAACAGGCAGAAAAACTAACTTGCCTGTGTTTGGGACAGTTTTCCTTTGTGCTCTTTCATTAGGCATGTGCTCCTTACTGAAGCGATCCAGCAGCTCATTGAAACAGCAGTTCAGCAGTTATCTACAATAAAATAAAAAAGTTAGGGAACATGTTGCATCTGTAAAATATCCTAGCACTTTTTGGTGAACTGTTACTGGAAATATCCCGTTTTAGCTGTTCATTATACATCTTAAAACGGAGGGAAAAAATTTACTTGTTCTGCCTTAAAACTGTGATAAATCTAAATGGAGGTTTCTTTTAACTATGTGCATATCTGTTGTCCTTTGATGTGTTGGTAAATGGAAATTAAATAGTTATTAGGGAAGCAATAATTTTGAGGTTTTCTCTAGGTAGCAATTATTTATTCAAATGCTAGACAGTTGCTTGCATATGAGTTACATAACCATGCAAAACTGCGTGTCATTGAATACCCACATGCAATGATGTTGTTGGAGGACATTGTGACTATCTGCTGGAAAGTTACATGTTACTTCCTTACTATTGTGCCTTAGAAAATGCGAAGCTGTTGCACACAGTCAGCAATGACTTAGGGATGCAATAAATCCAACAAGCTGAAGTCCTTTATGGAATTCACCCGGGGAATATTTTTAAGTAAAAATAAAATAAGTCAGACAAATGTTTTGGAACTAAAAGTGATATCCAATATTTTGATCAACAACCTGCATGATTTACTGTTAAAGGGTTTTAATAATGAAGATGCTTACTCTTTGCATGTGGTCATTGTAACATTTTCCCGCAAAGAATGTGTAACATGAAAATTTGAGAAACAGATTTTGTAACTGACTTGGTACATCTCTATAACTCCATGCGCTGCATTAAGGATATGTGAATATATGATGTCTGAACCTAATTTTTAAACAAGACCATGCATGCTTGTGTGTCTGTCTGGTATGAGTCACTATCGCTGCTTCACCCATGTGATAGAGTTAGATGTGCAAATCGGTCCCCAAGTGTATAAAAAGGGCTGGTTGTCACAGAGGTTAGATCTGCTTCTCATTCACATAGAGGAGGTAAAGTGCCCAAAAGGCTTAGAACCATGGTTGGCATAAAGTGCATGGGCAAGGGGTGGGGGTTTGCATCACACTGCAGACACACCAGTGGGTCTCTGGAGTTGCTTAGAAATTGATCCCAGTGTCTATCAATTAGTTTCATGTATGCATGTTTTAGCAAAGTTGATTGTATGTAAAGCAAAATGAAGCAGTGTTCGACAACGAAGATTTTTCCCACTAATGAACATCTGTTCACCAGCACAGAATAATTTCAACAGTTTTCTAAATTGTGCTTGCCAACAGCTTATGTTTAATTTTATATTCCCTTCGGAATCTTCGGAATACATGGTAAATTCATTCAGGCTAAGATTGTTTTTCCTTTTTTTTCCAGTTTAAACACATAAATGTGATACATTGCTAATCAGGAACTGTGAGCACAGAAAAAAATAACACTTTCCTACATTTGAACCACAATATAAATGTATTTGTTGCATAAATGATTTATTATTAATAAGCAAATACAATATATGTAATGGGTTTTAGATCTTTTGGAATTTATTTAGCCTCGTACTATTTCAGAAAACCTGAACAGGTGTCATAACCCATCTGTATTTTACAAGCCCATTTTCCATGGTGTATTTTTCCTTACTCTTGCTATGTAGTGTTATTGATGCAGTACATCTGTAGTTCTCAATGAATGTCCTAAAGGTTGGTGAACCAGAAGGGGACCATCCTTATCTGCATGTCCATTCAGGGACGAGGATTGCTGTCCTAGCTGGGGTTAATGTTGAATACCAATTATGCTAATCTTTATTTTATTTATTCTAAAATGCCTCTGGAAATTAGGAAATCTTGTCTAAAATGCAACAGCTTTTATAGTAAATGTATGTTTATAAATAAAATGTTGATTACCTTTGATGGAATTGATTTTACTTACTGTAACTAACTTCTATTGCATGCGATGTGTCTGTAAATCTGAATTGCAGAGTAGAGGCTTCTGCTTGGTTGGGGTAGGCTAAGCCAAGCTATGTTCGCCAAGACTTAGTATATGAGATGAGACAATAAAAAAAGACGTGGTCGAAATGAGAAAATACACTGTGGGTTGCCACTGTAAGCTGTAGTCCAGTATTCACAAGAGCACATGTGCCTATCATGACAAAGGTGAGCAGAGAAGGCTTTCTATGAGTCAAACCCAAAGTTCTCAGAACTTTCATCAGTGTTGGTGGACTGTAGTTCAGACTTTCCCTCAACAAAGCACTTTATATATGGCAATGCTAAATATATGAGTGGTTTATTCCATTTCCACGTAGCAAAGATCCTTAAGTTTGTGCTTAGTTTTGCATGTGCTGAGATATCTCACTAATTCTTGAATATCAACAAGTGTGTAACTTGTTCTGTCAGAAGCAGAAAGTTCATACAAAACTTTAAACTAATAACTGCCTCTTCTTCTTCCTTTTAATTGGGTCTTAAGTGGATGATGGGTTTGGGTTTGTGCCAAGAGTGCATCTTGGCTGTTAGATGAGTCATGGGGAAGTACTGACAATTTAATTTTTTAAATTAATTAATTTTTAATCTGGTGTCTTAGTAGCGATGGTAGTGGTCTTACATTATATCTGTATGTCCATCTCTGGACAGCATTCTCTGTGGTGGCAAAGGCATGCTGAGATTCCCGGCAGTGCCATTGGTGCCCTGTCTGCAGGAACAGCTCACTGCCACTGGAGGTTGCTCTGAGGCTGGATTTGGAGGCAGTCAGGCACCAATTTCTGCTCCAGCAGCTCTGCACCAAGGTTCCTGGGCACCCAGACAAATGCTGCTTGTGACCCTTAAAAGCCAAGAAAAATGGTGGAAATCCTGTTATGATTTTTTGTAATATTATTTTTGTTTTCTGGTGAATGTGACCCAGCAGCTCTGATCTGCATAGAATCATTTATGATCCTAAAAGGGCACCAATGGGGGTGCACTCCTCCAGCACTGATCTAATGCCAAAATAATTTCACAAACCTTATAAAAGGAGGTTTGTGTCACCTGCTCACTTTTGTCTTCAGGTAGCACAGGCTCCTAGGAGAACCCCAAGAGAAACTCCTGTGTTAACAGGGCCTTGGCATGCCCCAGGAGAGGACATTGGCTTGTCAAGCAGTGGGATGAAGCTGAGGGCATATGAAACAAATAGGAGGTGTTGGAGGAGAGGAGTGGGCTGTTACAGCTGATGTTCAGACATTGGAGCAGAGGATACCCCAGGCAAAGAGGAATGTGTGCCAGCTCCCCCAGGAGACCTCTGTGTGCCTCCGCACCCTGTCCAGGTGTGATGCTTCCATCCCTCCTCTTTCTCCTACCATGATCTGTCTTATTGCTTATTTTGTGAGCATTGATCCTTATCCAGAGCTCTTCTGGGGGATAGTTGAAAGCAGGCAGCTACCACTTTGTTTAGAAAATTAGCTTTAGGTACAGTTATTGCTGCCCAATTTAGCAAAGATTTGGTCTCAGATATATCCCCTTCCTGATACTGGGAAGCTGGTTAAGTACTTACTTAATAAACTTTGCAGAGTGGGGCTCACCCTGCTTTACTTCCCCTTACCAGGCTGGGTAACTGGGGAACAAGATGACAAAATGCTCATGTTCAGAGACACACTTGCAATGAAAGTCAGAACGGGTTGTGGGCACTGGAAGTGAGCAGATGGCACCGATGGGCTGGGAAAAAAAGATGCCAGTAAAATATATCTCCTGTAAAGGCAGACAGGACACATCTATACTTTTAAAAGCCTCCGGTAGGAATGTAATTTTATCTGAATTTCCTGATAAGGGGAAATGACTAAACTGGAAGCTGCTCAAGTTTTGCAAGCAATAAGAGCCCAAAAAAAAGAGATCAAAGGTACAGGGTGGGATGTGACTTTTCCCATAATACATGGGGGGGGGGGTCTATTTTCTTGTTCATCTTTGTTATAAATGTACCATGAGTTAAACATGTAAGAAGGATGCTTACCTTTCTGAAAGGCTGTAGCTGCTGCTCTGTAGACCTTATGGAATATTCCATGCTCTACAAGAGTAGCTAGTGGAGCTAGCTAAACCCCAAAGCATATGGAGTTTTGAGCCATTTAGGAAAAAAAAAATCCATTATTTAAGACAATCTTATAAGTCACTGTTAACTCATCCATAGAGTTTATCTGCTTCACTGCATGTGATGCACTGCAAATTCTCTTAGCTAATTCCACATCCATAGTTCACAGATGCATTTTTTTCTAAGCAGATAACTTGCTGTTTAAAACCTGCAGAAGCCTGCACAGGTCTAGAAACTAAACCAAAAGCTACCGAACTGCAAATCTTTCTTTGGAATAACAGAATTTATCAAACAGAAGAAGAAAGCAAGATTTTAAAAGTTCCTTTTGTCTATCATATCCATTAGACAAAATCACTCCAGTGACAAGCACAGGAACAGAGACATGCCATCCACATCTCTGGAAACTACCTGTAGTAATGCCAGATCTGTTGTTCCAGAGACCTGGACTCGGACCTAGACTTTCAGGGACCTTTCTTGTCATGGGTGTCCCCTCTTCTCAATGACCAAGTGCTCTTTGGTTGCCTTTGGAGTGGTTCATAAAACTCTGTGAAAGTGCACAACTCCAAGGAGGTGTTACACTAGTCTTCAATATAACAGTATGTCCTTACCGCTCAGATTGAAGGTGTCACCTCCAAATGCACTTTCCTGCCATGTGAGAACAAAGGGGTTATTTTTCCGAAGGATGTTAAATGTAAACGGGTTAAATGGGTTTTAGTCTAATTACAAACTTCTCTTAGAAAAAAATGAGTTCTGGTGAACGATTTGGCATCTGTATGGTCTATTGTAATACTAACGTATTAAACTGCATTAGATTGCAGCGTGGGATTTCTGTGTTGGACTTTGTGCTACACAAGTCTTAGTTTAAAATTTTTCCTGACTGACACATGATAACATCACCAACCTGAGAGTGAAACTGAGCTCTCTGACCTGTTTCATGAATTGACATTTTTAAGGAATTTAAAAAATATTTTATGCTTTTTGGTGCCCTTTCTGGTCCTGTGGGTTTAAACTGGAAGAGAGCAGTGCTCACGGTGTGCCCTCCCTGTCCTCGGAGGAAGGCCAAGCTCTGTGGTTCCCGGGGTGTGGATTCGCTTGTAAGCAGGGTCCGGGACTGGGAGCCTTTGTACTCCCTCAGCTGGCAGCCTGTGCAGTGCGACCATCCCGGTAGCAGGGAGCGGGATCTCTCCCGAATCAGAAAGAAGGAGCCTCCGTGGGCCTTTGGGCCCAAGGTCCCCCTGAGAGTCAGGGCCAGTGCCCTGGAGTCCTGGGTACTTTGCGGTCCAGGCAGCGGCTGGAGCCCCCTGTAAGCAGGGCGGCAGCCTCTTGGGCCACTGCTTCACGTGCCCAGCTGCCTTTGCCCAGAGGGTCTGGCTCCCAGCAGCGGATGGGACTGCGCCCGTGCGTTGCTGTAGTGAGACCAAGTGAAGTTAGATGGGTTTCTGCAGGTGGGGATAGTTAGGAAGTTTCTTTTTATAAGTTTTTCCCAATTTCTTTCCACCCTGGGATTGTAGTAATCATGGGCTGATTAATGGTTTCTTCTCTGTTTCTGACCTGCTCTTTTAGGCCTTTTGTCAGTGTCTTCTTTAGGAGTCTTGTGGTGGTGTTGTGTCTGAGAACGTTTAGGATGTTTTGTAGCATCCTTACAGGGGAGAAAGTATTTGGACCCCACCATCCACAGAATCCTTGTCCTTTCTCTCCAGGAACACCAGCTGTGACTTCCATTTTTCCTGGTCCTCCATATAGTTTTTCATCAATAAAATGCTTTTTCCGTCTCTGTGTTTTACAGTTTTGCATACACAATTTTTCCTTCGTCATGGTCTTATGATTCTACTGGGTTTTTTAACCTTTTCCCCAGGAGGTGCAGGTTCTAATGCTATTGAAGTGTTTGTCTCTTTACCCTTGGTTCTCCCAAGTCCACTTTTGTTACCATGTTTTGTTGTCTAGGTAAGTGGCAAAAACAACCACAAGCTCATTTAGAGACAGCCTAATAATAATTAAAAAAGATTACTTCCAATTTGCCTCTTTCAAAGAAAATAGAACAGAACTCCACCTCAAGTCACTTCATTTCAGATCCCAAAGAAACATAGGAACATCCCTGTCAGAATGAACAGGTGGCATGTTGTTCTTCTCTCTCTCAAACTCTGCAATTCACTGGGTCTTTGTTCTTACCCCAAAAAAGCCCAAAATAAACTATCTGATGGTTCCTCCCTATTTTTTGTCAGGGGGAGAGGACAAAGTATTTTTAAGGAACTCGTCTTACTTCTATTTATTTTCCCCATGAACCTTCCCTTGACTTCAGACATGATGCTAAGACCAGAAAAGTTTCAACTGCTTCACCAAGAGTCCCAAAGGGAAAAGAAAAGCACTACCTCCAGCCCTCCCAAATTCATTGCCCTCAACACATGCTCATTTTTACCATTTGCAAAGGAAGTGCCACCATTTCTCCCAAGGCCATGCCTTACCTGGTAATGCTCTCTAACTGAGCGAGAGACATTCCAAAGGCAGAGGTGAGGATGCAGAGGAACTCATACAACCAGGGGAGAGAAAATGCAAACAGGCAATTTTAATTTTTTTTTCTCTGAGTAATGTAAAAGAATATTTCACTTGACAGTATAAGTTCATGTGGTTTGATAATTGGAACTAAAAGCAATTTTCAACAAAAATCATGACAACTGACTTTTTTGCCTGTGGTGGCAGTCCATCTACCACAATGTTCTGCAGTATGGGGCCAGGCGTGTCCCTGCCTGGAAGCAATGCAGAGCAGTGAATTGTCACAGCTAACTGATGTCCTCACTGCACTGTGCTCTGTACAGAAGAGGATGGTGCTTGAACTTTCATTTCACAGCATCACAGAATATGCTGA